AATTAGCAAGGAGCATTAATCAAGCGGCAGTGGTTCGAAGACAAGAAAGAAAAGGAATCTTCACCTGATTCCGAGTCACGGTAGCTTCGTTGCGCTTGTTTCACTGTTTCATCCGCAGGCAACGTTGCATGCAAAACAACTCTCTTGCCACTGCGCCAGGCTATTCCACTCGAATTTTATACGCATGGAAATGTACACATGCATGAGCGTGACTACGTATACGGTGGAGGCATTTGTGGAAATAATGCGCAACGATAGTACCAATTTGCTAGACGAGGCACACACGAGTGCGCGCACACTCATATATATATATGCCTTGATGCTGACAATAACTTCGTCGATACAACGCATCATCTCATCATTTCTCACATAGCCTTTTCACGCTCAAACTTTCCACTGCAAACACCGTGGTCTTGTACAATATGAAGAGCTCTCTTATCTTTGGATTAATCAGCACGGCGGCTGCCGCTGCCCTTCCCGCTCCCGCAGATGGCTGCGACTCTGACTCTGTCCCTGCCGTTGAACCGACAAAGCCTGTGGGAGAGAACAATGGGAAGCTGCCTTGGCTGAAGCCGGGTCAGTTTGCCAGCCTTTGCGGCTCGAGCAAGTTCACCGACGAGGACTGCGGCACGGATATGTACTGCAAAGCTTTCGACGACATCAAGAACGTGACCGACCGCAAGTTTACTTCTTCCAAGCAGTGCTTCGCAGCTCACGAGCCCGAGCCTTTGCCTTGGCGCGAGCCAGGTCAGTTCGCCAGCCTTTGCGGCTCGAGCAAGTTCACCGACGAGGACTGCGGCACCGACATGTACTGCAGAGCCTTTGACGACATCAAGAACGTCACCGACCGCAAGTTCACTTCGTCCAAGCAGTGCTTTGCTGCCCACGAGCCCAACCCGAACCCGAAGCTGGCTTGGAAAGAGCCGGGTCAGTTTGCCAGCCTTTGCGGCTCGAGCAAGTACACCGATGACGATTGCGGCACGGAAATGTACTGCAAAGCCTTTGATGACATCAAGAATGTCACCGACCGCAAGTTTACCTCTTCCAAGCAGTGCTTCGATGCCCATGAGCCGAAGCCCAAGGCTTAAACGACGACGAGCAGATGTCCTTGGTATTTGACTAAATCAGGTGCTTGGCCATCGCGCTCCATACTATGATGTACTATGGGCTATTAGTGCATCTTGGGAGTGACTCCGTCTTCCGGGAAACAGAGGGGCGCAGGACCGGCTCCTTGTTGGGAGTACCCGTGGTAACCAGGGCAAAAAGATGTGGTTATCAGCGCGTCGTTTGATCATGTATCATGTTTTGTATTCTTCTGTACTTAGACTTTGGGGCTGGACGCGCGGTAGGATTGTCGCCGAGAAGAAAGAAAGAAAATAGACGTACCTCTTGTTTGATAGATTCATGATGTTCTTCCTTCGCACGATCGCTCAGGTAGTGTAAATAGTAGTATATCGACAGTTTTTTCGGAAGGCCACTTCAACCAAGCTCTTTGTCATGCCTATTTCACGACTGCTTTCATTCCCCGTGACACATCTAGACAAGGTCGATTCAGCCAGTGACTAGGTCGTGCTCAATGACGCTACTCGCCAGTCTGGACAAGCATTTGGCGTGGCCCTTTGGCCTTTTCCGTGATGGCTTCAATAGTCTGTGACGGCGCAATGCCAACGGCAACCACCTGTACACGAACAGCGACGACTCCTTTTCTTGCGAGTTTTGCCTCATAACGAACGTTATCGAAGCCAGGTCATTGCTTTGCAGCGCGGCCGGGCGGCCAAGGGTGACTTGTTGGCCACCTCTTGCCATGGCTGTGATTAAGACTACGCCCATGTAGGAGCGGTGGTTTTGGAAAAAGGCATCGCGTGCGGCGTGGCTGCAAAATCCTGTAGCGCTAAATAATTGAACAGGACGTCGGGCCAAAGGCAGCCAGTCATGACTTCATTGTGATCGGTCCGTCGCTGCGCGGACTTGCAAATAGGGGGGCCTCGCACACAGAGCGGCTAGAAGAGGACACAGAGAATTAAGAGCACTGAGGTTTGACAACATCTTGATGCAAAGACTCGACTGCGGTGCCTCGTTTCCTGGGCAGTTCGTTTGCAGTTGGCCCCTCGACTAACCTGCACATGCACATGCATTTTGTTGCAAGGAAAACCAGAGCATCTACTCCGTACCAAATTGGCACTTGAGAGATTCCTGACTAAGCCGCAGCCGGACCCGCGATACACGCGATACTAGGCGCCTCTTTACGCGCCCCTTTCTCAACCTTGAGCTTTTCTGCAGTGACGCTCAATCTCTTCGTTACGCGGCACTTTGTTGCTGCCAAGTTGCTTTAGGAATACCCCGTTTCCTTTGTGGCCCGCGCATGTAGCTGGTTCCATGTTGGCACGGGCTTTCCTTCGCAATGGCTTCGGCCTCCTGGTTCCCTTGGCCGTCGCCTGCTCCATCTACCTGTACTTGTACCCCGTCTTCAGCAGATGCGCATTCCCCCTGCCGTCCAGAGACCCCGATGCCGCATTTGAGGAGACCAAGAAGCTGCATTGGCCGTACGCCGACGCCGAGACGAATGCGCAGGCCCATGCATTGCCCACCAAGCAGGCGCCATTTCGGCTCTTGGCCCTCGGTGATCCCCAGCTCGAGGGTGATACGTCCATCCCGACAGTCTACTTGGGCATTTTCCCCCATGTCAAGACCATTTTCCAGCGGCTTACTTTTCAAATATGGCACGACTCTCTCCGGGATCGAGTGCGAGTAATACTACACGACATCATCGACATTTTTTTCGAAGATATCCCCTTTATTTTCGAGTCGTGGCGCAAACGCTTCGACCTGTTCGGCAACGACTTCTATCTCGCGCACATCTACAGAACCTTGCACTGGTGGACGCAGCCTACACACGTTACTGTGCTGGGGGATCTCCTGGGCAGCCAGTGGATCGAGGATGACGAATTTGAACGCAGAGGCCGACGGTTTTGGAACCGAACCTTTCGGGGCGGTGAGCGCGTACCTGATGATGTAGCCATGTGGCCCAATATCGAGTACAATCTGTCCGGCATATTGGACGGTTCTGCGGCCGAACAAGTCTGGAAAAGAAGAATAATGAATGTGGCCGGAAATCATGACATTGGCTACGCTGGCGACTTAACCCCCGAGCGCATTGAACGGTTTGAGCGAGTATTTGGCAAGGCAAACTACGAGCTACGATTCGAACTTCCCGTCACCGACCCTGAGACCAATGCTACAATTCAAGATCCGGAAACAAACCCTGCGTCCGTGCGACTGCCCCCTGAGCTGCGAATCATTGTATTGAACGACATGAACTTGGACACACCCGCAAAAGACCAAGGCTTGCAGGACGCTACGTACAACTTCATCAACGCAGCCATTGGTACGGCATGTGCTGTCGAATACAAGGGCCAATTCACCTTGATTTTGACTCATATTCCCCTCTATAAGCCTGCCGGCATCTGTGTCGATTCACCTTTTTTCGATTTCCATGGCGACCATGACGGTGGAGGCGTCAAGGAGCAATACTTGCTCAGTTCAGATGCCAGTAAAGGTATTCTTGAAGGCATTTTTGGTGTTAGTCGCGATCCCCAAGCCGCCGGACAAGGTATGGGCCGCCCTGGACTTGTCCTCAACGGACACGACCATGAGGGCTGTGACACGTACCACTTTGTTAACCAAACAAACGGCACCACTCCCGATGAACGATCCTGGGAATCACGCAAGTGGCAGGATGTGAGGGTGTCCAACATTCAGCAGTTGCAGCAGCATCCCGGACGACGAGAGATCACCGTGCGCAGCATGATGGGCGACTTTGGTGGTAATGCCGGCCTTCTGAGCATGTGGTTCAACCACGACACTTGGGAATGGGAACACGAATATGTCGACTGTCCCCTTGGGCGACAACACTTCTGGTGGCTGACACATTTTATAATATTTGGCGTAATACTTTTTGGATTTTCTTACGTGGCGGTCGCAATTTTGGAATCCCAAGGCGTCGATGTAGATGCTCGTCTTCGTCAAGCCTTTGTTTGGGCACGACAGCAGGTGAAGGAGTTGGAGAAGAAGCGACAGGCGCGTAAGAACGCGGCGGTATCGAACGGGAAGCCCGGGGGAAAGTCATGATTGGATGCGGGTAGGCATTTTAGAGCATTTACATTAGCCTAATTTCTTTTTGTACAATATGTTGGCAGCGTTGCCATTTTGGGACTTGTTTGCATGGTTTGAGGCGTCTGTTCATGAAGGGTCCATGGTTTGCTTCTCAGGCGTGTGCAACCCCGGCGTGGTGTAGACATTGATTGTGTTGTCGTTGTCTTTTCCCTCTTTTTCTTTTGAATAGACTGGACTTGATGGGCAAAACGGTTGCACACAGAGCACGGCCAGTTAGCTTTTGGTTGGACAGAAACTAGCACACAAGCAGGGGAAGGGTTCGGTCTCTGTGAGATGGTGACTCCGGAAGGCGGTACAACGAGGATACGGAAGAACGGCCGGTAAGCCGATGAACTGGTTCGATTATGCGTCCTCGACGTCGTACCCCGTAACATCGCACGGCTTCCAAGAGGCCGCAACGCTAGGGTTCGGGAGCAAGAGCTCCATCTCGCGACAGCTACCTACCTCCCTACCTAGGTAGGTATGAAGCAGCTATGCCAGCCAGCATTGCCCATCATATCAACGGAGCCGACTGTCAAAGGCAAACGTGTCAAGTTGGTTCTTCTATACATTGCATTCCCAGCCTACAAAATGTTACAGAACCGCATGTTTGCTCCGACGACACGCCGCGACACACTCCGTGATATGAAGCACAAAGTTGCGATGTGGCCATTCATCTCTGAACGACGGGGGAAAGACTACGAGTCTTGGTCTTGACCAACAGGGAAACAACTATAAAGCGAGATGCCTTCTCTATTCTCTAGTCTCAATATCGAAGCTTTCTCGTTAGTTCAACTACTTGCAAAATAGATTTTGTCTCCATCTCGTCAAGTCGCCAAACCGCCAACATGTATCTACCCAACCTTCTAACTTGCATCATCGCCATCTTCACCCATGCCCACGCCGCCCCGAGGCCCGACTCACTCGCAGTAATATGCCCCAAGTCCAACACAAGCTCCTCGCCTTGGCCAGGAACCACCCCCTTTACTGCCATGCCTCTCCCAACTCTCCCAAGCGCAGGCGACTGCGCTCCCGGCGGCGTCTGTGACTGCTCTCGAATACCCGACAAGAATAGCAATGAGTTCGTACCATTCACCTATCCGTACTTACCAAGGTACATAGCCACACTAACCACGGCTAGATACTTTCAATGTATCACCAATCCCAACTGTGAATACTGCTGGGTCGGCAGATCAACCACGTCGACGTCCTCGTCGTCCAAGACCCTCGTCGCCAATTCCACCAGCATCTCCATCACCGACTATCGCACCATGTCGCCCGGCACCTACATCATCACTACCAACGGTACCGTAATCAATATTGTTGTCACACAGGAAATCGCCACTCCTACCTCTTCTACGCAGGTCTTTGTAACCATGACGGAGACAGTGGTAGTTACCGTGTCGTCCGCATCTACTTGGACTCCAAGTAAATCCAGTTCGACTGCGACGGTGGATGATGATTGTTATGGACGGTGTAACTGCTCCAAGGTCGAGGATAAGGACAGTAAGGGGTAGGTTCTCTTTCCTTCTTCTTTCCCCCCATCTTCCTGCAAAATACTATGATCATCCTGTCATGAGGCGGTGGCGGTTAACCAGGAGCAGATTCTTCGAGTGCCTCACCAACCCCGACTGTGAGAAATGCCACTCCACAAACGCAGCGGCCTTGGCTACCAAGACGACTGCCTCGAGCAGGATTTCCAAGAGCTCTGCGTCTAGCACTACGACGACGACTTCATCTTTTGGCGCCCCTACAGACGCTTGTCCTTTCTTCTGCGACTGTTCGGGCATTGAAGATAAAGACAGCGAAGAGTAGGCTGCCTCGTTTCCTTTACATGTGGGCGTACGACTAACTGCAGCTAGGTATTTCCAATGCATCACCAACCCCGTCTGCGAACAGTGCAAAAGCCACCGCTGGTAGACGCTGAGTTGAGTCTGAAAAGCCACGAAGTCAAGTACCTGGAGGATGTGGCGAGCGGATCAAGACTAGCTATGTGTAATTGGTATGATAAGTAGTAGCTTCCTACGGCATAGCTAGATAATAAAGAGGTGTGCGCCGCAGCATCGCAGCTGTTCTGCTTGAACGAGTGAGCAGAGAGAGATGCCAGGAATCCATACGTCTAGCCTACAAGATACAAGTCCCAGCATCCATTCGCCATTCCCATCCCGAATCCTAATCATTAAGCGAACGTGTCCATTTACATTCATAAATCAATGCAACAATAGTAATCGACGCGATGCGCTACGCTACGCTACGCTACAACCAGCATATTGTGAGGTGCATAACCTTCCCTAGGGATACCATCGAATAACTGAGCCGCAGAGTCAGCGTTGCGCTTCTCCTCCTTCTCTGGCCCATCCGTCCATCCTCGTTCAGGACCCCAGAGAATCTTCCGCTTTGACTGAGCAGCGACCTCGAGCAGGCCCCGCATCATGGCGCCCGACTTCTTGACGCCCGGGTAGCCCTCAAACTCAATGGCGACGTGGCCGGGGATTTCGCCGAGCACGTCGCCGAGCAAGTTGCGGCAGAACCCTTCGTAGAAACCATCCGATCGACGGAACCCTTCGTAGATGCCGTCGCTCGGGTCGCATTCAACATACACGGTCAGTTTGCGAAGATTGCTGCAGTCCTTGAGGCCGAGGGCGTCGTTGACCACCCACCCCCGCGGGGGGGCATTCCAGCCAGGCCCGAGCCGCAGCTCCAGCGACGTGATGCATCGGCGCTGGCTCGGTTTCAGGCGAGCCAGGAGCGGCTTTCTCGACTTGAAATATTTGCCGGGAAAGGTGGGGAACAGGCGAATGGCCCGGGAGCTGAAGAAGAAATGAGTCGCTTCCGCGCGAACCTGTTTACATGTACGGACCAGACCCAGCGCCCTGTGGTATCTTTTATGGTTGCCGGGGTCGAGGTCCAGGACCTTTTCGGCATTGCTCCAGTAGTGCTCGTAGACCTTGACGCGCAATTCAGATGGCAGTTCAAGGAAACGAAAGGGCTTTTCCGGAACGCGGCTCTTTCGTCTTAGCGGTATGAGAGGCGTGTCGAGGGTCAGGGAAGCAATTTGGATTTGGCCGACGTCGTCGACTTCGACTTCGGACGCATGTGTTGACGGATACGCCGAACTCGCTGGCGTAGTCATTGTGGAAGATGCTGGCGTCGCATTGCGCGGCGTCAAGCCCGTGGGAGGCTTCGAGCCTCGTCTGACAGGTCTTCTGGGCATTGCCGGGTGGTAGTTGTGGTATTTGGTGTGACTGCTCCGCTTAGAAATAGGCCGTGGTATGTGGCGACTGTAAGCGCAAACACGAACCGCTGCCAATGTCGGGCTGCCAATGTCGGGGTGGATATGGGAAACAAGTCGTTTCTTTGAAAAGACGCTAGAGCGAACAAGATGAATGTCGTTGCAGATTGGCGCTCGTCAAATGTTCAGCGCGATAGGGTCGACTGTGATGTGTGGAAGGCTCGGATCGCGAGTTGGCTCACAGAGGGTGGTGCCATGGCGAAGTCGCAAAGACTGTCGGGAGACCACCCTCTAGAATGCAGCACACGCATGCATAATGATGCCGGGCAATGCTCAGTGGTGTATGGAGAAGGGTGACGGATACAGGGTCCAAGTCAATGGCGACTGGAACGAGTCCTAGGAAGGGTGATGTGGTCTCGTGATGTTTGAATCAGGGGTGAGGGGAAGCCGAGCAGGTGCAGGGTGTGTTGAGGAACGCCCAGCCGCTTGTTGCATCTCGACGAAGATGCCGTCATCCAATGGGAGAGACGGCCGCCAAGACAGTCTGAAGGACAAGCCTACGCCACACTGTCCACTAGGAGGCCATGTTACTCGCCTAGCAGTCTAGAGTGGCATACTTGGTACATAAAAGATAGTTTTGTATTGGGGCGAAATCGGCTGGCGGATGGATACCTTAGCCTAGGTGCCTTCGTCGTAGCAAGCGAGCCTCTTCTTCTGTAGGGTTTGAACTACAACTACCCGAGGCTGCCGGGTTTCAATATACAGCCAGTGAGAGAGGCAAAGGCATGCGCAGGAAACTACCGAGGACTTGGCCTTCGTGTTATTAATTGAATTCAATTAATACATGCATATTACTGCGTAGAGACGGCGAAATCGGGTCCCACAAACATCTGAAATAGGACATGGGAGCCCGTTTAAACACCGGCTAATCATTTGCGGGTCGTGCTTCCATAAAATTTCAGTGAGCAGAGAGCCGCCATGTCATCGCGCGCACACATGCCCGTCATTTGACCTAAGCAGCTCCCGGTCTAAGCTGGAAAAAAAAAGGGACATTCTCGACTTCTCTCAAGCTCCCCGGCTCTTGTCACCAGAGCTGCTCAATTCCGGCATCACACAACACGACAATCAGGTCGCCCATGGGATGCTGAGCTTATAAAATTCGATTATACATATTATCCATCTACGCATTGCGCTCCTTGCGATATCAATCCGTCAAGATGCTGTCGAGAATAGCCCGCGCCCCGCGCCTGGGCATGTTGGCTGCTCAATTGTCACAGTCCGCTGCATCCCCGGCTTTACGAAGTAGACAGACAGCCGTATTCGTCTCCCCCTGGATGCGGTCGTTTGCCAGCAATAACAAAAATACTGGCGGGGGCGAAGGCCAGAGTCGCCCAGAGTCGTCAACGCAACCGAAACCCGACTCCAAACCCTCTGCTTCGCAGAACACTCCGCCCCCCAATGAAACCGAAGCCGAATCATCTCAGCCTTCAAAAGAGGCTGAACCGATCCCTTTCCACAAACTTCCTGATTTGACACAGGGTATTCCATCGACCCTCGACGCAGAACTGCGCAAACAGTCGGGCCAGGCCACGTCTGCTCTTGAAGCCGTTGAGCAGGAAGAATCCGAGGGCCGTGGCAAGCGGGAGCGCCCCGAGTATGTGTCGACAAGTGACCGCAACCGAAAATGGTGGGCGCGATTTATGCTGGCTGCCGCCGCCGCCGGAGCATCCTTTGGGGTTCTTTACATGGGTCGTGACTGGGATGATGCCATCGAAGCCGAGCGCCATAGTGATATTCCCAATGGCTGGAGTCCCACGCTGTGGTGGCAGAGGGCCAGAGCCCGTATGGGCGAGTCAGTGTCCTATTACCAAGATCCGGCATTCGACAAATTGCTCCCAGACCCCGATCCCAGCTTCGAGCGACCATACACTCTCTGCCTAAGCTTGGACGACCTCTTAGTACACAGCGAGTGGACCCGAGACCACGGCTGGAGAGTAGCTAAGCGACCAGGAATGGACTACTTTGTTCGATATCTCAGCCAGTACTACGAGTTGGTTCTTTTCACGACTGTTCCGTTTGCTATGGGCGAGCCCATTGTCCGCAAGTTGGATCCCTTCCGTTTCATCATGTGGCCGTTGTACCGCGAAGCCACCAAGTTTGAAGACGGCGAGATTGTCAAGGCAAGTTCAAAGACAAATGGTTCTACAGGAGCATCAACTCATCGTTTAAACAGGACTTGTCGTACCTCAACCGAGACCTCTCCAAGGTCATCATTATCGACACCAAGGCACAGCACGTCCGCAAGCAGCCGGAGAACGCCATCGTGATAGATCCTTGGAAGGGGGACCCCAAGGACAACGATCTGGTTGGGTTGATCCCTTTCCTCGAATACATCCACACGATGCAATACTCGGATGTGCGCAAGGTCCTAAAGTCGTTCGAGGGCAAGCACATCCCCACCGAGTTCGCCCGCCGTGAGGCTATTGCAAGGAAGGAGTTCAACAAGCAGCTGGAGCAAAAGAAACATTCCAAGGGATCCGGTGTCGGGGCGCTTAGCAACCTTCTCGGACTGAAATCCAGCAACATGAGCATGACAATGGCTCCCGAAGGCGAGCAGAACCCATCAGAGGCCTTTGCTCAAGGCAAGATGTTGCAGGACATTGCCAGAGAGCGAGGGCAGCGCAACTACGAGCTTTTGGAGAAGGAGATCCGCGAAAACGGCGAGAAGTGGCTCAAGGAAGAGCAGGTCGCTATGGAGAAGGCCCAACAAGAGGCCATGAGCAGTATGATGGGTTCCTTCTCCGGCTGGTTTGGACCCAAGCCCGGCGACGCAGCTGGCGCCGGTGCCAGCGCCGGTGCTGCTGCTGAAAAGAAGGCATAAAACCCAATTGCCCGCCTACTTGAACAGCACGGCGTGTCTCCCCTCTCGTCATCTAACTTGTAATTGTAGCACGCCCTGAGAAAAAATATCTATATATAGCAGAGGTTAGGACTCCCACAGATGTTGAGAGATGAAAAAGGAGGTTCAACTTGAAAAACATGTGTTTTGTTTACAAGTTTTTTTTTTTAATCATTTATCGAACAAAGTCATGCGGTGGGCATTCCGCACATAGAATTTTCTCGCATTTTGTTAGCCAGGGGCGGACAGAGGGAATGACTGCACAGGCAATGAATGAAGATAGATAATTTGTATAGTAGGTGTATGAATCAAAAAGTGGTGTTGGCAACGAGACTTTACGCTTTCTGGGTGGTTTAATGGTGCGGACGGTGGGTGCATCTCTCAATGGTAGAGATGTCACCTTGTCCAACAACTTGAATATACCTGTAGCTCCTGCCTAGACTACCGAACCTACTACATCTGCTTGATAAGGAGTCTAGTGTGGCCCAGTTGAGAAGATTCATTGCTATGGATAACATTTATCACTAAAGTCCGCATGCTCTACCACACAAAGTATTCCAAGAGCCCGGTTGGGCAAACAAAAGCCGGCAATCACTTGCAATATAAACCTAGTCTACCTCCCCGGCTCATTGAGCACCCAGCATCCCTAAAGCGTTTCGTAATTCTTGGACCGCAGTAGGCACATCCTCAAAGTTCAGCGCTGATATGGCCCATTTGGCGTGCTTTTGCGCTTGCTCAATGCTCTTATGACTGGGTGCGAAGCCCGTGGGCGCACTCGGCGCTGGGGGGGCCGCCTGGCGAACAGGAGCTGGCGCTGGCGCAACAGTAGGCGGCACATATTGGTGAGTAGGCGCGGAGGGAGGAGGTGCACTGGGTGCGTTGTTCCATTCCGAGGGCGTGGGAGCAGAGGGCTCGGACGGCGGTAGTTTCGTGGGTATCCGAGGAGATTGTTGCGGAGGGTGTACGTCTGGCGATGGCGCAGGCGATATCTGGGCCGGCGGAGGATGCATTACTGAAGCTGGCGGACCGGGACTCTGAGTCAACGGTGAAGGAATAAATGGTTCCGGATGGGCAGTGGTCGGTGGGAAGTAACCTTCCTGGACTGGCGCAATAGGAGGTTCCCCGTCATCAGGAGCGTCTTCTACAGACGCAACTGGCGGGCTCATTATTTGCTGAACTGCCGGGTCGCTAGGGCTAAGAACCGGTTCGGAGCCCTCGTCTTCTTGAACCTGGGGATTGGTCTCGTTGGGGTCTTTGCCCTCCCGTATGGCTTTCAGAATGCGCGCGGCATTCCATTTCGCAAACTTGATCTTTTTGATGATTTCGGGTTCGGGGGTACCCCACTCATGGGTAAGGTCAAAGAAGGTGGCGGCCGCATCAAACGTATCTGCCGTCTGTCTACGCTTGGTCAGCTCCATTGCTCTCGGGGTACAGTCGTGACGATAGAATATGAAGTCCAAGTGGCTACACGTACCTCGAGACCTTGTTGGCTCGCAGGGTCCTCTCGGCTCGACTAAATGTTTCCTGAGCAAACTGCTCGACGTATGCCTGGCCGGCAGTGTTATCCACGATGGCCTCGTCATCTGCGCGCTCGGTCTTGGTTGCCTCCAAGCGCTCAATCAAGCCTTTTGTGTATGCGAAGCAATCGTCGTCGGTGGTGTGGAGGCTCTTGGTAACGATTTGGTTGACCGCATGGTACTCGCCTGGGGCAGGTGTCAGCACGTCTTATTTCTCGGGCGATTTAGGGCTATACGGATGTCGCGCATGCGAGAGAGAAACTTACACCAATATGCTATGGCAGGTTTAATTGTGCGCAGCTGGTTTGCGCGGTTGATAAACCGGCTGACCTCGGGGATCTTGAGAGGCGGGGGCAGAGGCTCGGCGCTCATGGCTTGCTGGGTTGGGGGCTCTGGCCAATTGTAGAACCATGCAAAAGAAGACCAGGATTAGAGGCGAGTGAAAGTCAAGTCAAATTATGTCTCTTGCCACAAGGCAGTGTCAGTAGCGGTGGGAAAAGGGAGACAATCGAGGTGCTTGAGTTCTGCGTGTTCCGAGCATATCAGGCGTCTTGAACTGAGCCTGCCCCACCAGATAGATGCACAGTCCGTCAATATGCGGCCGTAGACGCCGGTGCCTGAGCAGAGAAGTGACGTTGGTGCTGCCTGCGCCTGCCTGCGCATGTGCCCCTCTGGAGCTCGCGCCACAGCACCTGCCATTCTGCCATCAATTGATCGTGCTTCAATGTTCAATGGTGCGGCGGCGGTCTGCTTGCCCCAGGTGGCGGGGCCACTGACCACATGTGCACCTTCCGGCCACATGTGGCTGGGCACTTCGAGTGCTCCTGCCACTATCGACATTGAATACCGGCAGCCTGCAGGTGCCTCCAGACACCAAAACCACCACCACCACCACCAACAGCTACACCGTGGCCTTTTTCCCTTTCATGCCACGGTGTTGCGTCAGGCCATATTGCTTCATCTTTTGCACACAACATAAATACCGAGCCCTGCCGCATCTACCAAATTGGCCAGGGTCTGCTCTCATTACGACATAATTAATCTTTTTTTCTCTTTTGAATTCTCCTTCGCGCACTCGTATCTTTTCATCTGCCATTCACGCAACCATGCTTCCTCCCGGTTCCGTCGCTGGCCTGACAGCCTTGCTGGCCGCAGTTCCCAGTGTACACGCCATGTACACCTCAAACTCCCCAGTTCTCCAGGTCAATGCGAAAACGTATCATACCCTGATTGCTAAATCAAACCACACTTCTGTGCGTTGCTCCCCTTGTCCTCCAATGGCGTTTGCTGTCGCCCGAGTAAACCCCGTTTCCCCTCTCGTATAAGCCTGCTCACATTTCCGACAGATTGTCGAATTCTACGCACCCTGGTGTGGCCACTGCAAAAATCTCAAGCCTGCCTATGAAAACGCCGCCAAGAAGCTTGATGGGCTTGCCAAAGTCGCCGCTATTGATTGCGACAATGAGATGAACAAGCAATTCTGCGGTGGCATGGGCGTCCAAGGCTTCCCCACCCTCAAGATCGTTCGTCCTGGGAAGAAGCCTGGCAGTAAGCCCGTCGTTGAAGACTACCAGGGCGCCCGAACTGCTAAAGCCATTATGGAGGCTGTCGCAAGCAAGATCAACAACCATGTTACCAAAGTCACTGATAAGGACTTGGACGCCTTCTTAAAGCCTCAGGGTCCCAAGGCAATCATGTTCACGGACAAGGGAACCACCAGCGCCTTGTTGCGAAGCCTTGCCATTGACTTTTTAGATGTCATTTCTGTTGCCCAGGTGCGCAATAAGGAGGCAAAGATTGTGGAAAAGTTTGGAATTACAAAGTTTCCTACATTTGTGCTAGTTCCGGGTGGCGACAAGGAACCCATCATCTATGATGGCGATTTGAACAAGAAGGACATGGTTGCCTTCCTGAAGCAGGTTGGACAGCCTAATCCTGATCCTGCCCCGGCCAAACCCAAGGTCAAGAGTGACAAGACAAAGGCCCCCAAGTCGGAAAAAGCTCAGAGCAACAAGACGAAGGCCTCTTCCTCTGCCTCACCCGACACCGAGGACTCGGCCACAACTCCAGAGGCTTCTACCCAGACAACCGCAACCGAACCCGCAGCCTCGACTCCTGATGTCATCTCCATTACCACCGTGACTACCAAGGACACTCTTGTCGAGAAGTGTCTCAGTCCGAAATCTCACACCTGTGTCCTGGCCTTTATCCCAGTCGATGCCTCCGAAAACAGTGCTAAAGTCACTGACTCCCTGTCACAGCTCAACACCAAATACGTTCACGGTCACCGGCAGCTATTCCCCTTTCTCGCCATCCCCAGCAATATTGAAGGGTTGGATTCGATTCGACAAGCCCTCGGTCTGGAAAAGGACGTGGAGCTAATTGCAATTAATGCCCGACGCTCTTGGTGGAGACATTACGATGGTAACTTTGATGTTGAGAGCGTTGAAGCATGGCTTGACGCCATCCGTATGGGTGAAGGATCCAAGAAGAAGCTGCCCACGGAGATTATTGCTGTGGAGGAAGTTGTCGAAGAGGACTCTGACAAGAAGACGGACGCCGAAGAACAGGCGCCAGCAGACGAGGTCAAGCATGAAGAGCTCTAGTAAACAGCAACCGTAAATCTGGAAATCCGGATGCTTTTGATGTCAAGTTAGTCCCATGGCAGTCTAGTATAATTATGTATTAGCGTTATACCAACTTGCTTCCTGTGCTTCCGCATAAAGGACGGAAAATTTCGCAGCTTGATGTGCCTTGCGCACACCATTTACTCATCCAACTCCATGGCCATGGTATCGCTTCGTTGTACAGCGCCTTCCTTGATCATCTTGACTCCCCTGTCCTTGATAGTTTTGTCGAGAAACATCTTGACCTGCTTGCACCCGTCCAAGCCAACGACGAGCATGCCCTCTAGACGGCTGACCTGGACGCGGCTCTCGCAGACAAGGGCGACAACACGATCACTATCGCCGAGCGACGCCACCGTGAGGAAGGGAAGCTCCTGCTCCTCCTGGTTGTTGAGGTCCAGCAGAGGATCGGCGGAATCGTCACCGGCGGCATAAGAAGACGTCGATCCGGCGGTGCAAGCAGCAATATAGTCCGTCATTGGGATGCCGGCGTCAATGACGGCAAGAGTGGCGGCGTTGATCAGAGCGGCGAGGAGGGAGCCGTCCTGTGACAGGACGTGCAGCGACACCGTGATGGAAGAGTGCGGGAAGAGATGCGTATGGACGGTCGAGGAAAGCGCCTTGGCAATAGTGATTTCAATCTCTTGAGTGCGTCTACCGTACCGCTCGCCACGTCAGCGCTTGATATTTCAACAAGACATTGGGGGTTGGGGACTCACTTGTCGCTTCGCGCGCGCTTCTTGCGGTCGACGCTGGAGAAGCCGGCAATGACGACGTTGACAATGATGGAGGCGGCGTCGCGGCCTGGCGCCTGTCCGCCTCGCCGTTGCGCTTGGGCTTGGGCTTGCTGCTGCTCCGACGGGCCGGTCACGACGCACATTACTTTTGTGTGGCCCATTTCGAAGTAGGACGATCCGTCGGCGGCATCTTGGGTGCGGATCTGGGCGTGGAGGCGGCGGAGTTCGTTCCAGCGGCGGCCGTCGACGCGCAGGAGGGCGAGGGAGTATGTGGATGTGTCGAGGGGCATGGCGCTGGCACGGGGGTGTGTCTGTCGTGAGTGAAGAGGGGGGGATCACCCGCGTGAAGAAAGGATTTTGAGGTGCGAAAATGGTGCTTTGAACTGGACTTGTATGCTTGTTGGATATTTCGAATTGGGGTTTTTTTTCTTTGGAGCTCCAGTGAGAGGGTGTGGCTTGTGTGGCGTTTACTGGTTCTAGCTGTGGCTGAAGGTCCCTTCCCGAACCAATGTAAGACAACGTCAAGCTGTTAATCTACCGTTGATGTATGTACATCGGTTTAAAAAGGCCTACGAAGTTCGCTGTCCCTAATATAAGATTAGGCAGCAAGGGTACGAGGCTAACTGCAGCGTTCCATCATGGCCTTGTGTGCAGTGTCGAGTTCTGATACCCTTCATCTGAATCAGCAGGCTCCCTCCCTGCTAGCGATTGCCCGGGTGTCTCCTCCTGAATTGATCCCGGCGTGAAACTACTTGTAAAGTGATGGAGAGAAAATTGCTAGTAGCGACTTCCACTCACGCTAGTCAAGAGAATCTTGCTAGATCAACTACCTACCTAGGTAGGTAGGCTTAGACTGACATTACCCTCGGATCAGGGCAAGACAGAACTGCCTACCCGGTAGTTAAGTAGCTGCTCCGTGTAGTGCACGGCATAATTTCAACGTCTACGTTCTCGTTGGCTGGTTCGGGGAAGGCAGGGCAATAATGGAATGACTAAAATTATCATGATTGCAACTCTCCAACTCCATTAAAGAGGCCGAGGTGGCCTTTGTCGGTGCTCGGCCTTTGTCGGTGCTCCCATGTCCAAGGATTATACATCAACTTGTATTTTACGTCAAAAGCAAAAGAACCTACAAGAATGTTACTCACAGGCCCAAATACAGAGTACAGGCGGTTGCCAATATTCTGCCCACCTTGGTCCTTGTGCAAAGCAAGCAAAAGGTATACTCAACCGCTTGCTTAGGCAAAACGAGCATCACACTCCTCTTTGTAGGCCTTCAGCTGCTCCATCTTTGTCTGCGTGAACTTGTTCATCTCTTCAATGTCCTGGTGAGAAAATTCAGCACTCCCGTCATGCAACACGGCCCAGTAAATGGCATCCAGCTCGAAGCTTTTTCTTGCTGCATAATTGAACCAGAACCCGCCATTCCTCCACGAGTCACGCATCCGAGTAGAAAGTGGCGGTCCGGTTGGCTCCGTGCCTTTAGATAGGGGCGCGCCTTCGACCTGTTCCAAGGCTCGAAGAAACTGCTCCATCCTGGGCGTATAGAGGGTGCGGAATTCTTCTATAGAACCGCGATCAAGCCACACTTCTGGACCAGATATCAGTAGCCACCACGGCGGATCATATGTGAATTGTGCCGGCATTGCATTTGTAAACTCAAAATCGAGCATTGCGGTTATTTGAAGGGTTTCTGGATTGACGAGCATGTTGGACGGCCGCATGTCGTCGCAGAAGAGTAGAAATGGCCCCGTGTCATGAATGCAGTACTTTGGGATAAGACGGGGTAGCTGACGCCGAGCAATAAACCGCGCTTGGGCGATTTCTGGGTCGTCCGCGATGTTGCGCTGAGCCCAAACGTGGTCTAGGTGCTGCCTGGCGACGGATTTGAGATAATCGCTTGTGCTATCAAAGGTGGTTGTTGGGAAATGGTCATCCGGGCAACCCGAGACAGTTGCTAGTTCATTCATGTTGTACGTGAGGGGCCGTTTGGTAACAGACCACGTATTTGAATCGTGATCCTTGGAGATGGCGCCGATGCGGGAGAAGGGCAGTTGAGAGAGCTGAAAAATGTAACTCGCAATTTGGAGGTAGATGGTATCTAATGCCTTGTTATCGATGTCTGGATTCAAAATTGGATCCTCTTGGTCGCTCTGAGTGGGTTGTTTGAGGACCGTCGATAAGAGGGTTCCCTCGACGTGGTCCATTATGATGAACGGGCCAAACTGCCGCGGACTCTCGGCGGTGAGGCCCCAGCTATGAACGCGAGGGACAGGAATCGTGGTGTTTTGGCGGATATATTCCATGACCGTGGCCTCGTTTATGACCTTTTCATCCCTCAGGGCCGTAGCCGTATGTCCGGGCTTTGGAAATCGAATAATGGCGTCTGGGCCTCCGTCGCCGAACCTAAACTGGAAGCTGAAGTTGAAGGATCCTTTGAGAAAGCCGACATACTCTGTGACTGGACCTCCTTTCCTACGGCTGGCGACGAATGTTGCCAATTCGGCCTTGGCATCGAAAACTTTGTCTAGCCAGGCTCTGCATTCGTTGTCACCGTTGGTCTCTTCAATTTCATCAAAGTATGTCTTGAGCTGGAGTATCTTTTGTACATCAATGATGGACGCAAATGTGGAAGTAGATGACATGACGGCAGGAAGAGTCTGGTGTGGCGTCGGTGCAATCACTCACTCTGCACAATAAGAGACTTGATTAACGGACTTTGGTATCTTGTCCTTCGACATCGACATGGCGGTGGACGGATCGGATCAAAGCATGGCCGGGCACGGCTATTGGCGACCAACACAACATTGAACCTCCTAGAAGCAGGCAGTCGCGTGAACGGATACTTGGACCGATAGTCATTATTGATGCCCGAGCCTGGTCACGCCTCGCAAGGTCAGGCAGGCAGGGAACACCTCCGTTTGCCGTCTATGGAGTAAGCGTGCCTCTGGTCTGGTGGGCGGGAGTTGGACGAGTTAACATTGCGAATTTTGCATGTTGTCACATGATCGTCGCAATCGGCCGTCGTGGGGGCAAAGCTCTTCGGTGTTGTACTTTGATCTGTGTAGGAACTCTTCACCAAAGTCACGTTTAAAACGAGAGAAATGGTTCTTCTGTACGAGATGGTAATGTTCTGGATGATCCGTTTTGTAAGTTGACATGGTTCGGTTGGAGGCTCCTTCGTTGCACAAGGCAATTTCGTTGGCTGACCAGAGTTTGCATGCAGAGTTTCTGCATCTCAACGTCGCAGTGCGCAGTTGAGTCCTAATTAATGAGAATAAAAGCTTAAGTGGATGGCAGCCGTCACTGTTGGCGGCAGCTTTTTGGATTTGAGAACTTGTAGCCGGATGCCAGGATTGGACGACAATCTTTGGCTTTTGCTTAACCGTAAGGTCGTGGGCAAGGAGGACCCCGCGTCATCATCAAGGTAAATTATTCAGCTATCCCGTCAAAAGGGCAGGATATAACCTTGGGAGCAGCTCGTCATGGGTGAGTGCAAATTGCTTGGTTGACAAAGTAAAAGACACAGCCGTGGAGACCCCAGTGGTGCTATGCTATTATATTAGCTCCGATGCGGATAGATTTGATATGTCAAGGCTCACACTAAACCCTTACATTCAATGAGTGAAGCCTTTGTCAACTAGCGGTCAATTGGGTAATCGTGGTAGAGAGGCTGAGTTTGTGAATGGACTGGGCCACCACAAGGCAGATAGTAGTAATATTTTAAGAGACTCCCAGTGTACTCCGTTATAAAAGCCGCACGCTAATAACGACAATCAAGCCGGACGCTCACGAATCCCGAACTCGCTGCATCCAACTTGGGTCCGGTATGTCTCGAGAGGACAGCTTCAATTGGTCTCTTCATTGACTATTATAGAGAAAGTCCAGACCCAACGGCCAATTCTCAAAGTCAAATGCCTCATCCATCGACGGCCAATTTATACCAGTGTTGTATGGACAATCTCCCAACGCATCCGTCTTGAGTTTTGCCTTGGCTTGGGTGTTGTCCCTAGATAGGGCGACCAACTGCTGAGCAGTGCACAAGGCTTCTTTTGTAAGATGCGTATCTAGCTTCTGCGAAAGATTGCGTAGAACTCCCATAGCCGTCGGCAGCAAGGTCAAATAGCTGTCCGTATCAAATTGCAAGATGATGCAAACAGTCTGGAACGGAACGCTCAGCAAGTTCCACCAAAACTGGTGCGCAGACAATAGTCCGTCGATGCTGTCCAAGGCCTTTTCCAATATAGCAATAGACGACTTGGTAATTGCTTTGCTGGGGCGAAGAGCTGCGGATACGTACCGCCTCAAAATGCCAACACAGACCTCCGCTTTGAAGAGGCAGACCAACGCAGACTCACTGGCTATACTTTGAAGTTGCAGGAAACAGTCGGCCATGGCTTGCGTATTCAGACAGTTTTCCACTTCTGTCTCGACCGAGTCTAGAACCTGCGCGAGGGACACGAGGTGTTCGATATAGACACCGGGGCTGGACGAAGGAGGCGAGCAGGTAGCCAGTGAGAGCTTCACTGAGCCAAGTCCATACTCGACACTAAGCAGGCAATTCAGGCACCACGCCACCCAGTAATGGCGTCGACGGCTTTCGAGTTCGTCTTTGCTGAAGAGAGCCTCGCGAGAAGAGGTGGTGGTTGTGTGTCTTTCGGAGATGTCGCGATGCAGGCTCAGAATCTCGGCAGCATGCATGGCCGTCTGACTAGCTAGACAAGCCACAGCGGGTCGGGTGGTGAGACGAATATACAAGGTTCGCAGTATCCATCCTGCGACTGAGTCCATATCTAGCAAGGATATGGGGGTGGATAGTCCCATATCCAGAATGGAGAATGCGTAGTCAACCAGGGCTTCTTCCTTGGGGTGACTAGGATTTGCAAAGAACGATCCAAGCGCGGCCACAGCTGCGACGACGGCCGCAAAGTTTGGTCGGGACTCTAGCGAGCCCCAAAGACTGGATAGTCTCTGGGAAAAGGTTTCCTCGGCCAGGAAGGGGAACATGGGATGAACAGCATTGAAGTAGACGGAAGCCAGGCGCTGACAATCCGCCAAGGTCATGAAGCTTGATAGGGGGGTATGAATGGCCCATTTTCGCTCTGGTCGAGTGCCCAGATTCCAGGCAAAGGAGTGAAGGCGTGGCGGCACCTCGGCACCTAGACAAGAGCCGACAAGATGAGGTAGAGCAACGGCGCTGTGGGCGTTGATGTATCGGCCCTTTTGCTTGCTGACAAAGACTTCTGTTGAGCGAGGCTCCTGCGCCGGGGGCGGCTTGGACGGTGATGGGCGTGATGGGCGTGATGGGTATAGAGGCGGAAGGCCGTCATGGGCCATGGCGCGGCCAAGGGTTGTGTGAGTGACGTTGCTGCTGCTGCTGCCCTCAATGCTGCCATTTGCGTCGTCTGCGGAAAGCGCAGAATCGGAAGCGACGTGGTAAACGCAGGTATAACCGTATCCATGGCATGACGAGCACGGCTCTTTGCCATCACATTTCCGCTTGCGCCGCCGGCATTCGGTACAGGCTGCATATGCCCTGAGCCGGTTCTTGGCTGCGCCCTGTTGCACAGCGCCGTAGCTTCGTTTTGGCATGGCCGATACGGGCAGCAAGTGTGTTCAATGTTGCGATGCAGCGGCGAGAAGTAAGATCGACGCGACCAAAGCTGGGGAGAAAACATTGCATGTCAAACTGGCTGCCGTCAGCAATGCAAGGAGCCTGATCTGGTTTGGCAGGAGCGATCGACATGTGTGGGCCTTGCCGGGTTCCATGTTTCCAGAAGCTCTTCTAGAAGCTCCATCATGTACGGTCAACTGTTCAACACGTTCATATATATTTGTTTTCTCAATTGTATGCCATCTATTTGTGTATTCGTCATCTTACTGTCCGCCTTGCAGCATGTCTACCAACTCTTTGAACGCATTCTGCAATTCAGCTTCCATCCCATCCTTGCGCCAGCGTTCTGTGTCTGCCCCATTGATCTCATCGAGCTTTAGGCAGTACTCCAAAGTTTTAGAAGTCACAGTCAATTGTGCCGTGGATTTCGCAACGCGCATTTGCAAACCGGTCAGGATTTGTCGCAGATGGTCGGCTGCCTTGCCGCCCCCTTTTCCACCGTACGTCACCACAGCCGTTGGCTTTCCCTTCCACTCATAAAACAGATAATCGAGAGCATTTTTTAAGCTCGCAGGTATACTCCAGTTGTATTGAGGAGTGACGAAGATGAATGCATCGTAGCCGCGGACAGTCTCTGACCACCGCCTGGTGTGTTCGTTCCTGTAATGCGGTGTCGGATCATCCGGTGGTAGGTGAGACGGGATCTCGGGCTCGTCGCATAGGGGCAATGCCTGGTCCTGGAGATCTATTATATCCAGCGCGATGCCAGTGCGAGATGGCGCGATCGTGTCGCGGACGTATTGCGAAATGAAAGGGTTGAGACGCGGTGCTCGCACACTGCAGGTGACGGTTGCAATGCGGTAGACTCTGCCGGTGGTTGTGGCCATCTTGTTCGGAATCTCTGAAGACTTGAAAATTATACCCAGCTCCAATCTCCAGAGCATAGAATTTATAGAAAAAAAATACAATGTGCCTTCTTAGCATTTAGAGTCAAATGCGGATACTGCGGCGGATGTGGCGGATATTGCGGTCCTGCTCATGACATCACCAGACATCATCAAGGTCTTGTAAAAGCGGCACAAGGAAGTTATCCACCAAGTCTTGCGAGATCAATCCGTTCAATTGTTAGTACGAATAATCTCTCCGTTGACCGAGCATGTAACCGTTTTGCCGCCTGGGTGGCATAGTAGTATTCCGAGCATTGAGTATCTTGCGTTTCTGCGGCGTAGCAAAGCAGCCAGCGCACAGTCTAGGAGTAAACAACGCGACAGGAGTAATGCTGTATCCTGCTTGAACCTTGGACTTCTAAGAAGCCATTCGTAATAGGGCTACAACGCACAAATGTAAGGTTCAATAAATTTAGAATTCTAATTCTATAGACTGCAAATATTGTCGTGTACGAATAAAGAGTGTTGGGCATGGAGAAATGTGGCAACAACTCTCGTGAGCCCCAGAGATAAGAGTGAACTTTGAGAAGTAGGTCGAGCGTATAAGTTGATAGTCCAATGTCGGAGTCATTATCATCGTCATAGGATCCAAGCAAGCTTTTTGATTGGCTACGGGTCGTGAGCATCAAAGCACTCTTGGCTAGTCCGGAACTTCCCGTCAGGTCAACGTCGGATATCCATGTCAAATGCGTTGCAGTCGAATAAAGTAGTACCGCAATACGATTCGAGGGCTTAACAGCCGGTGACTGTACATATGGGTCCTTTGGCTGTTGTATTCACAGCCTTCCTTTTCATCTTTTCACGTGAGACTTTTCCCCCACAAAATACGACCCTGAAGAGGCTTTGCGCAGCTTCCACAACCCAATTCCGGGGCGCAACATCAGACGCATCTTGGCGCGCGGCTCTTTCCAAGGACAAAGGTAATGAAGTTTTATGCTGTGGGGAATAATTTTAAGTTGGCACGGTTTCAGCTTGACCGCGGCTGACGAGGCCATGAATCGTCCACTTGGTTGCCAACGGAGAAAAGCCGATATTTGAATGAGTAAGTCTACTGGAGCTGCGCATATACATATCGCCGAATATAACTGCTAGCGTAATTATGGAAAATATCCACACCCTTGGGCGTGGCATAGCACGCCCAGTATGTACGTAGTTTAGCGTTTTCGGCTTTAAATCTCCACAACTTTAAGGACTAAAAGACGTCAATTCGCTGAAGAAGACGATTCTCGTCGTTTTTTTTCAAGATGAATCCTTCTACGAGGCCGGCTGTTAATCGAGGCCATCTAGGGCTCAGCTACAGCAACAAACAACCTCATCCTCAACCACCGATGATGCCGACAAGCAAGACGGTTCCGCACGCGATTACACGGAAAACGTATGGAAAGTTTCGGCAGTGGGGATGTGTGTGTATGAATGCGTGGGTCGCAGCGTTCTGCATAACAGTCTTGATGGTCTGAATATGAATAAAGCGTGCTTGGGTGGAGTGTTATTCATGCACTCTCCAGCGAAATGGCGCAACTATAGTCAGATATTGCAGACAAATTCCAAGTGTTATTGAAGCATTAAAATTGAAGGGTCTTTGTTTGCACATTTCGCTCCATTTTGGCCTTAGATCTAGGCAGTTGGCAGCTGACGAAAGTAGGGTTTACATGGCACTAGTTTACATACCTAGGTAGGTTGGCCTTGTCTCTCACAACCCTCGTGGAGTGAGGAAATTAGAAGTCCTATACTTCGTAGTAAATAGTAATATCGATGAAGATTATGCGTAATTTCTCACTTTCCTGCGCGAGCGGCAGGGACACATTGCACCTTGGGTCAAGGTACCCCAACTGAGCGTATCTCGCAAGCCTTTCAACAAGAATGCAGGTTTGCTAGAGCCTTAAATATACCTGGTCTGCTCCCCCATTCTCATGTCCGCAGTCTGAATTCGCCTGTTTTTCTATCACTCTTGTCTCTCTTTTACATTTTCTTACATTTCTTACACTCCTTAAACTTTGACATTCTTTTCAACATGCGAGTCCCCCTTCTTGTTGCCGCGCTGCCTCTTGTCAGTGCTCTGCCTCGAGGTTTGCTGGATCAACGTCCTGCGGACACTGTTGATCCTAATCGCGGCAGAGCCGCTGATGTGAGCTGGAATGGACAGAATGACTATTTTAGCTCGCGGGGACGAGATCGTCATCCTAGCTGGCAAGGCAAAGACCGTGATCCCAGTTGGCAAGGCAAAGATCGTGACCCCAGCTGGCAAGGCAAAGACAATGACCCCAGTTGGCAAGGCAAAGACAATGATCCCAGTTGGAACGGACCAGGCTGGCCTGAACATCCATACCGTCCAGATTTTCCCGAAGAAAATGATAAGCCAGAAGTCAATGATCAGCCAGAAGCCAATGATCAACCAGAAGTTAATAATCAGCCAGAAGTTAATGATCAGGCAGAAGTCAATGATAAGTCAGAAGTCAATAATCAGCCAGAAGACAATAATCAGCAAGAAGACAATGATCAGCAAGAAGACAATAATCAGCAAGAAGGCAATGATCAGCAAGAAGATGATTGTCCCGCTGAAGACGACGGTCTGGCAGATGACAATGATCAGTCAGAAGACGATTGCCCCTCTGAAGACAATACAAGTGCCACCACCACCAGTGCACCAGACAAACCCGTGGCAACGCAAACCGAGCACGTCGTCTCAGCCACCCCATCACCTACCGAGGCCCCGTCCGGTACCAACAAAGATCTCTATATGCCAATTGTCGACAAGTGGCTTCCTGCTTTGAACTTACGCCCACTCAAGTACGACGCTGAGCTGGCCAAGACTGCTCTCCAATGCAGTGAGCTCAGCAACGGAGACCTCAAACACTGTCCGCATGAAGGCAACGCACAGATCATGGCACCCGGCAACGAGACGGCGTTCGAGCATGTCTTTGTAGGTGGCTGGCTTGGCGAGCGATCAGATCTCTTCCCAGACCAGGAAGTCTGGAGAAACTTTAGCAAGGCATGGGACTACCGGGGCCAGACTGACCATGCGGACTACTTGGCCGATCAAGGCACATACGACAACGGAAAACCGCTGAAGCTGACCAAGATTGGTTGCGGCTGGGCAGGGGGCTCGAATGGGGGGCAGCAGTGGAACATGTGGACGTGTGATCTTGCTTAGAATCCAGACATATTGGCGCAACAGTTTCAGAACTGCTACCTTTGGGAATACAGTCTTGTTAGCTTTTCAAGGTATTGGCCTATTATGAAAGGAACGCCGTAGCTAACTTCCTTATTCGATATTTTTCTTCACTGTACGTAGTTTTCTCTTCGCTTTAGCTTCAAAATAAACTGCACATTGCGCAAGCATTACATCTGTCGGCACAATGTATAAGTCATACAGGCCAGGGAACGGCAATGAACCATGTAGTATGCTATGAGTATACGCAAGGCGATGCGCCAGACACTACCAAGGTTGGTGTATTATAAATATAGCATACGCTATAAGTGTAGCTATAAGTGAAAGTCCGTCCTAGAATTATACGATTTTACCTAGATACAATCATCGACCACCTTTCCTTTCCATCCTCGATATCTACTTCTCGGCCGCATTATAGCTCATTTTATAGACCGGATTGGCAAGAATATGTACTTCGTATGTATGATTGCTATACTCGAGACCAGATGCAATTAGAAATTAGCACTGTTAAGACAAGACTCAGTGTCTCTTTGCCAGTGTTCTCCGTACAGTCCTTCCAAGGTAATGAAGCGTTTCCACACTTCATGTTCCGTGGAGATGTTATGGTGTTGACAGCTTTCAACGTCTGGCGATGCTGCGAGAGGCTGTAACGGGCGGCATCAGCTGCTGCGTTGCTGTTAGCCTCGGAGAACTTTTCAACAAGGAACCAGGAGTCCTCATCGTCATCGGAGTTCATGAAAGGCACTGCACGGGGATTACAATCTATCCCGCAGTATGAGGAGTCAATCGCAGCACAGGCCATGGCAAGCACAAAGGCGAGATGTCTGGCTTTGTTCTCCCAAACACTGCACCTGGGTAACCCGGCCCTCGTTTTTCCACCGTCGACACGAGTCTGAACTTCCAATATTTCTCATTACCCGCCAGGCATCATTGGCAACCTCGTCCACAGCTCACATTCAGATTCCTCACTCAGTATCTCTATGGAGACTCATCAGGATACTCTTGAAAGTACTATTACTATTCGCTCCGTCACTCAGGAATGCCGCCTCAGGCTTCAAGAGTGCGTTATTCGGCATGCTGGAGGAGGCGGGAAAGGAGAGAGCATCAACGCCCCAAATCTTGCAAGGTCTCATTGGGCTGAAAATCGCCTGAGCGACTTCAATCTATGGGACGCAGGAGTTGGAGCAAGCGCGGCGGCACCGAATTCTCTCGATCTTCGCCTGCGGAAAGATGCTTCGGCCAAGAAGGTCGTCATCAGCTCATTGAGTACGCTAGCGACATGGGCAACATTGTATCGAGATATTGCAGATGGGCTTGAGCCACAAGCCAGAGGCGCAGACGAAGAAGACGACCAGCCTATTACTCTGGAAGAAGCAAGGTTCAGCGTCGAACAGTTGCTTGGAATTCTTGTCAATTTGGGCGTCGCAATTCGGCAGTCTGGCGCAATCTCGCGTCTGGGCAACGCTGACGGCACATTTCAGAAGCACAAGCACAAGTACTCCTCGCTGATGCAGCACCTGACATTCATCCTCCAGCTCTCCCATCTTCCTCGTGCAAAAGTTCCCGTGGGCGATGGCGGTGCTACAGCAGAAATGATTCAAGTGCCAATCGCCTCAGAGGAGCAACAGGGCCCGCTGCGATTCGAACAGCAAGTCCTCATCGATGCAAACGCCAAGCGTCGCCATCGATTTGAATTTGCGAGGGAACGCCGGGATGAATTGAAGATGGCTGTTGATTCACAGGATTCTGCACCAGCTTCATCACCAGACTCGCGTTTGCGGGAGCGTCTGTCTGACTCGGTGCCGGCTCCAACTGGCGAGATCCAATATCCTGCCATGATGGCCAAGGCACCTTCAACAGAGGCAGTTGAAAAGCCTCCACCTCGCGCACAACGCTCAACAGCCACTACGAATCAATTATCCGAGTTGATAGCTGACGTCCCGTTGGATTCGCTTGTTGAAGAGCTTCCTGCGTCCGCACCCCCTACGGCCATCGCTCTCAAAGCTGACTACCCAAGCCCCCCGAAACCGTCCTCCGATGCCACCGGACCCGTTTGCCCATATTGCAATTTAACCCTCCCGAGCGAGACTGCACGGGCGGGTCAGTGGAAGTCAGTTCACCAGACACTAATACACTGCGTTCTGTATGCTAACTTGCTACGCTTGCAGGAAACATGTTTCCGAAGATCTGGAACCCTACACGTGCTACCTTCCGGACTGCCCACAGGACAACCGCTTCTTCAATACCTTCAAGGCGTGGAAAACACACGTCTTCTCGGACCATCAAGTTTGCCGGGGATGGACGTGTTTCTTCTGCCAAGAACCTCGCAACTTTGCCCAAGAAAGCGCCTTCATTGCGCACGTAAAGGCGTTTCATCAAGATGCTGTGTCTGAAGCGTACCTGGGTGACCTCTCTACGGCATGCCAGATGATTGATGAGCCCACTCTAGACATGTGCCCCGTTTGCTCGATGCATGAGGCGGCCTGGACGATGAAAAAGGCCGAATGTACACATTTCGAACCGGGAACTGACTCGTTCTTGGACCATATCGGAAAATGCATGCATGATTTTGCTTTACGGGCACTGCCGTCTACGGAGCTTGATGGTTCAGTCGAAGAATCCAGTGCGGCACCTACTGGCGCGGCACATCTTGATAGTCGCTCGTCCCTGTCTTCAGTCAGCCTAGGTACTTCGACTCTCGGAAAGGATGACCGAGGCCTCAAGGAATCCGATCTGCTACAAGTTTCTATGTATTCAAGTGACGAAAACCTGCAGGCGTGGCTCAAAGGGCAAGAAGACAAAACCTAGCTCAATCGGCAAGAACACAAAATCCAGTTTCCGCTTCAATCTACAGGGTGGCTCGGACCACGTGAACTATTGAAGGTCCTCATCGTAATCGAATCTGGTAATCTTCCCATGTGCTATCCAGTTATCCAAGGGTTTATTCCGGTCCTAACAACGGCCATTCACCAGATCCTTCCTTGTTCATAATGGGAAGAAGTATGAAGATGAGGAAGTCGTGCTTTCTAAATGAGGGAGCCGCATGAAAGACTGTACATAGCAGATATTTGACTCAAATAGACTTTGTCCACTCCACAAGTCACAACACAGGCACAAGCTACATCTACAGCATAACCTCGAGCAGCATTCCTTTTCGCTGCTGAATCACGCGCGATTCCACCAGCTCGAGCGCCCTTTTCAGTTCCGCGACCGTCCTCACTCGGAGACCCCTCATCCAGGCTCTGTCGTCGTCAGCCAAAACCCCCCCGCCAGTCTCCGACCCGGCCGCCGCTTCCGCCAAGGCGGCATAGTTTGGCGTCGGGCAAAAGGAAATGTTGATCTCGTCATCAGTAGCGCCGGCAGCAAGGCCGTCGGGGTAGACGAGTTGCGCCGAGTTGCGAGGCGCCTTCCACCCTGCAGGTATATTAGCAGACAGCCGTGTGGATTGCCAGTACAAGCACGCTCACCTCCGTTGTTCAACACAATCGTCAGCACAGGAATCTCGTATTTGCTCGCAACCCACAGCGCGCTCGAGGGCGCCGCGCACATGAAGCTCCCGTCGCCGACGACTTGGCAAACAAGACTGTGCTGGCGGTCCTGGTCCTTTTCCAGGTCCATCAGGGCCATCTTGACGCCGAGAGCGGCCCCGTTGCTCCAGCCGATCCCCGTCGCGCCGCAGTTGATCCAGCTCCCGGGCCGGCTGGGCTGCAGCTGGTCGGACAGCGTCTGGGCAGCGGTGACGGCCTCAATCACAAACGTCGTCGACTCGGGGAGCGCCGTCTTGAGAAGGCTGCCAATGTTGGCAGCATTCAGGGGCTCGTCGTCGCCGAGACGAGCCTGGGCCGCAATCTCCGCCAACCGAGAGGCGTGGACCTTTTCGCGGGCCGCGCCGCGAGCAGCGTACTCGGGGTCTTGGAGCTGCTTGGCCAGCGCGGCGTCGTTTTTGATATACTCGACAAGCTGGCCCAATGCGGTGAAACTATCCGCCTTCCAGCGCCCGTGGGCGGGGAAGAAGGAGACGGGAATCTGCTGGTTGAGCGGGTCGCAGTCGACGTGGTAGATGGTGGCGTGCTCGGGGGGCGGGTTCCGGGCCGGAATCCAGGGCACGTCGCAGTCGAGCAGGAAGACCAGGTCCGTGTCGCGGGTGCACTCGTCCAAGGCGAGGCGGAAGCCCTCGGAGGCGGGGTGCTCAAAGGGAAAGCACACGTCGCTGCCGCCGGTGTCGTGGACCCTCATGCCGGGGATCAGGTCGGCCAGGGCGACCAGGAGGCCCGGGCAGCGGCGGTCCCGGCCCGAGTAGCCGGTGACGACGAGCGGGCGGCGCGCCTGCACGAGCGCGCGGGTAATGGCGGCGACGGCGTCGGCGGGCAGCGCACCGGGCCCGACGGGCACCCACTGCGCCTGGTCCAGCGAGTACGGCTGCATCTCCTGGGCGAGCACCTCGCGCGCGGCCGCCACGTAGACGGGGCCCCTGGGCGCGCTGTTGGCAAACTGCAGCGCGCGCCCGACCGTCTGCTTGACGTTGAGCCCCGTGCGCACCTCGCCCGTGTACCGGCAGGAGCACCGCGCAATCCCCTTTTGGTCCGGCGCCTCCTGCAGCCAGTGCATGTACTCGGTGCGCGAGCCCGTGACTTCGCCGGCCTCGGTGTAGGGGCACATGCCGGCAAAGATGAAGACGGGCACGCGGCCGACGCTGGCGTTGTGCACGCCGTGGCCGAGGGCTTGCGTCCCGACGTCGACGTGCACCAGCACGGCTTGCGGCCGCCCGGACACGCGCGCGTACCCGTCCGCCATGGAAATGGCCGCCATCTCAGCCGGGCATGTGATGATGCGCGGCCACGCGTTGGGCCGTTCCCGCTTACCCTTAACGATGGCTTCCAGGACCGACGGGTGGTCGGACCCGACATTGACAAAACATGCCGTGATGCCGGCCTTTGCAGTCTGGTGTGAGCTATTTCATGTACGTGTGAGCCGGTGCGTGGGCGGGGGGGGAATCTCGTACTTCCCAGAGCGCCTCGAATAGGGCGAACGCGGTCGTGTACCTGGGAGCAAGTGTGAGCCCGTCTGTCCCCCGAGGCGTGCGGCGGTGAAAACTGGCACTCACGGCGCTTGCGTCAACTGCGAGGCGGCCATGCTGGCACGGTCCGGGGCCTGGCGCGAATACCGGCTCGTTGAAAAGGGCGCTGCGGGTGGTGACTCTGGTGAGGGCGGGAGACGTGCGAGTGGGCGGAACCGACGCGACGCGGCCGAGGGAGGTAGGGGCCGGAAGTGAACTTTGCGTGCCAGGCGAGTGCGCAATGCCATGATGGCATCTGCAAAGGGGCAATGGGGTTCTTATGCTCTGTGCAGACGAGGTCATGCAGAGTTGGCAACGAGGGAGGGGGAACCGGTGGAGGAGGCGATGTCGTGTTGGTTCGTGTAACGTCGGCTTTAAGACCGGGCTGTTGGTCCGATGTTCATCTTGTCAGAAACACGGTTACGTGCAAGCAGTGAGCACAGGCGGGCCATCTCAAGCAAGTACTAACAAGAATCTTGTATTTACAAATCGCACGGTTTTTTCCTCTTTGTACTACCATACTTGCCGCATGAAAGCATTCCCCATGGCCAACATGTCGGCGGGCCAAGCCTATTATACAATTCCCAAACTGAGACACGCTCCCAACACGCCACGACGGGCACAATGGCACTGACTGATGGACCTGCAGAGTGTTTTCACCGTGCTGGTGTTGCTACGATACTTTGCTACTTTGTCAACGGTACGGCCTGGCAGGGGTCGCTTTGCAGCTGGGTTGGTCTTGCAGCTCGACGTACTGTGCGTCCCCGTCGGTGGTGCTAAACATGGTGCTCATGAGGCTCTTGGTGAAGTAGGGGTCCGAGGGCGGTTTCCTCCCGTTCTTCAGCTCCTGGGACTCCTTGAGCTCCGAGCCCGTCGGGCGGCGAGGCCCGCTGCGCGTGCGGTTCTTCTTGCGGAAGAGGACGGCGAGCTCGGGGAAGCAGACGCACAGGTTGCCCGAGGCGAGCTCGGCGGCGCCCCAGAGCAGGATCTCGGGCTGCTTCCACGACGAGTCCGGGTTGCCGCTGTTTCGGAGGCGCACGACGAAGCCAATGGTGGCAAAGATGGGGGCGCTGCTGGGCGGTCAGAGAGGAGAGAGGAGAGAGGCTTTTTCGACTGCCGTCAGTCGATCAATGGCAAAAAGGCTTGAACACGTACCATAGGCCGAATGTAAAGGCGAGCACGACGAGGACCCTCTTGAGGCGGTCCATCTGGAGCTTGCGCACGGCGTGGATGGGCAGCAGCAGGATCAGGTAGTCGGTCACGGTGTTGAAGGCGCCGCTCACGTTGAGTATGATGTGAATGTCGACGCACTTGCCGGGCACCGAGGGGTTCCAAATCTTGGCGCGCGGGTTGCACTCGAAAATCTTGACCAGCGACGTGGTGCCGTAGAAGCCAAAGATGATGACGATGAGGGTGACAATGGTCAGGTCAAACTTGCTCCAGCGGATGGGCGAGAAGACGCGGCGGTACAGCCAGAGCACGGCCAGCTTGGTGACGCCAATCATGACGCCGTACTCGATGGCGGCCACGTTGAACCAGTAGGCGGCCTGGTGGGCGTCGTCGATGGTGATGTCCCAGCCGTGCTGGCCGCCGTGGTTGGACATGGTGGCTCGCATGATGCCGCAGTAGGCCACGGTGCCGGCCCAGGCGGTGGTGACGAGGGCGTCCTCAAACAGCCAGACGCGCTTGATGAAGATGCGGACGTAGCTGCGCAGGAGGAAGAAGACGGTGACGAGCGGGATGCATATCGCGATGGTGATGTCGGCGAGGTACGCCAGCGACGCCGGGTGCTCGGGGTTCGACACGACGCCCGGCGGCGGCTTCAGGGCCGGCGTGAAGGTGGGCAGCGGGCTCGTCGACACGCCCGACAGCTGCGGCGCCATGGAGAGCGTCTGGGTTTCAAGACGAGAGAGGCCGAGAGGCGGCAGTCATTACAAATTACACGACGGGGGGCCGATGGCTCGTCGAGCAGTTCCGCAAGTGGACGGGGGAGCAGACACAGCCAACCAGGGAGAGAAAAAAAAAAGTGACCAAGACCAATATAGATATTCTTTTCGCTCGACTCAGACTATACAAACTCCATATATTGCCACTGGTGCGCTCCCTGGGAATCCTTTGGCTCGAAACCCCAGACAGCTGAGAGAGGCTGAGGGGGGGCAATACCGTATGCAAACCGCTCCAAGCTTGCCGTGTGTCGTGCCATGGGGAATCGTGTCCCGCGTGGCACGAGTATCAAGGGGAGCATGGAGCATGAGCTGAAGACAAGGGCATGCCTTTGAGTACATGGACCGTTTGAGAGTTGAGAGCCGGTGGTGGTCACCCCCAGACATCTCACGTCGTCTCCCGCCCTTGGAGCTGCTTTCATTGGCAACGACTGCGAAACAGGCCGCATCTGGGGTTGCAGCAAGCCGTCTGCCCTACATGGCACGGTGGTATTTCCGTCAGCCCGCATGCCGCGCAGTCGAGACGAGCAGAATACCAGGGGATGGATGCGGCCCGGCCTGCGCAGTCCGTCCGCACGCGAGCGCCAGGAAGGCAATTCATGAACCGCCTGGCCACGCCACGACCCGCGTCGAGCTTGTTTGCAATATTGCACACTTGTTCAGCTCAGACCATGCTCGCGGGGGGGGGGGGGAAACGCCTTGTGGAGAGAGTCTTGTCGAGAGATGCCCTGAATATTGAGCTAGTTGCTCTTGAGCAGCGTATTTGAAGGCCACCGCGTCGTTGCTTGCACCTATCCCGCTTAAATACCAAACCAGCACATGGTCTGTACTCGGGTACGACGCCCTACATGACCACCACCTGCTCTTGTTGCTCTACTCTTTACTCTCGGTCTACATACGTACGCGGTGCCACACACGGAGTCGAGCTGTTCGCAGGCGCTCAACGATGCATAGCCCAGAGAAACCGCCCGGTGACGGTCGTCCCTCGCAGCAGGCTCCCAGTGACTCAGAGTACGCGGCGACTGAGCCCACTGCGATTGCAACGCTGGCGGACGACGACGTCCTATCAGACGCAGAGGCAGCCAGGCTGATTCGGAAAATCGACTGGCATGTCCTGCCAATGCTATTTCTGATTTACGTTGTGGCGTTTCTCGACCGGTACGTCGCCCCCCTTTCCCATAGAGAGATGCTGTCGACGACGACGGCCGTCTAAGTCGCCTTGAGATGATGCAAGTTTTGACACCAAATCGCCTGCCTACAGGTCCAATGTCTCCAACGCCCTCACCATGAGCATGCCCAGGGAGCTCGGGCTGACGGGCCAGCAGCCCAACATCTCGCTGGCCGTCTTCTTCGTCCCCTACATTGTCTTTGAGATCCCCTCCAACCTGCTGATGAAGCGGCTCTCGCCGCACGTGTGGCTCTCCCTCTGCGTGCTGGGCTTCGGCGTCACGGAGCTGTGCCAGGGCTTCATCCAGGGCTACGGCGGCCTGCTGGCCACCCGCTTCTTCCTCGGCCTCTTCGAGGCGGGCATCTTCCCGGGCAGCTTCTACCTCATCAGCTTCTGGTACCGCCGGGACGAGTCGCAGAAGCGCTTCACCGTCTACTTTTGCTCCGTCATCCTGGCCTCGGCCTTTGGCGGGCTGCTGGCCTCGGCCATTGCCAACATGGACGGCGTCCGGGGCAAGAGCAACTGGCGCTGGATCTTTATCCTCGAGGGCATCCTGACGATTCTCGTCGCCGCCGTGTCCTTCTTCTGCGTCAGCGACTTTCCCCACGAGGCCTCGTGGCTGTCCGAGAGGGAGAAGCAGGCCGTGCTGAGGAAGACGCGCGCGGGGGACGCCCGGCTCGAGGGCAAGATTACCCGGCGAGATTTGGTAAACTTCTTCACCGACCCCAAGAATTACCTGGGCGCCGTCATGTATTTCTGTAAGTGCTTCCCTCCCTCCCTCTCTCTCTCTCTTCCCCCCGAGCTGCTGCTGCCGGGAGATGTAACCGCTAATCCCTGCCAGCGGTCGTCGTGCCCGTCTACGCGTTTGCCTACTTCACGCCAACCATTGTCAAGTCGCTCGGGTACAACGTGTTGCAGACGCAGCTCCGGTCAGTGCCTCCGTTCGCCGCCGCCTTCGGGCTCTGCCTCGTGCTGGCCTACCTGTCGGACCGGACAGACCTGCGGCTGCCCTACGTGCTCGTCTCGGGCGCCATTCTCATCACGGGCCTCGCCATCCTGCTCACCGTGCACGCCAACTTCTCGCTGCAGTACGCGGGCATCTGCCTCGTCTGTATGGGTGCCCTGGGCGCCGGCCCCAGCGTCATCTGCTGGTACCTCATGAACCTGACGGGCCACAAGGAGCGAAGCATCGGGTCTGCATGGATGATTAGTTTCGGTAACACGGGCGGCATCCTGGCCCCATTCGCCTTCCTGCCGCACGACGCTCCATCCTACCGTCTCGGCTACTCGCTGTGCATGGCAATCAGCGTCTTGGGCATCGTCGCTGCCGGCTGCTATGCCCTGCTTGTCCTCCGGGAGAGGCGCAGGCTGGCCAGGGACGGCGGGACCAACAAGGCCCATGTCCCGTCGCTGTGAAGAAGCAACGTGTGTCTGGTATTTGTCAAATGCTCCGGTTCCGGAAGAGGAAGGGGGGCGGAGGGGACAAATCCGGAATGGATGTACGTGGTAGCAACAGAGCGTTGCAGTGCGCACGTGTTGTGAGGCAAAAGTCGTCAAGTTGTATATAGCAAAGTGACCACTCGCGTATTTATGCAGCAACTATTTATAATCGCCGTGTCGAGGCTCTCTGCCACAGCAAGCACAACTGGGCAGCGTCACACCTGTGCCTTTTTTTGGTGGGTGAGGTTGTTATTGTACCGGTGCCGTGATACTTTTTCCCATTTGATCGTCTCTTGCGACCCGCATTCCTAATGGCCGACCAAGGCGGAAAAGATGTCATATCTCGGGATATCGAAGGTACCTTGGCGCAGAGGACGAAGCTGCAGCGTGGGCTGGACAGTATTGCTGATATCGCATTGTGCCGAGAATAGATGACAACTTGGCAGCCTCGGCCGAAGTAGCATCAAGCTTGTCCAAGGCGAGTTGTCGCCCTTTGTGTGTTGGACTCGTGACCCGAAACGGCTGACTCGACGAATAGGGACGAAAGATATTCATCTCGGCGACGGTCATTCTACTCAACTTCAACGTCACGCTGGGCTCCTCGCTCCCCAGCGGCGCGGCATCTACCCTGAATGCCCATTTTGGCATCACGGAAAAGCTTCAAAAGCCGCTGCCTGTGGCCGTGTTTCTCGTGGGCTATAGTAGGTCCCGTCACCGGAAGCAGTCCCCAAGCCAGACGACCGAAACCTGACGTCAACGCAGTCTTTGGCCCCATCATCTTTGCCCCCATGTCCGAGTCCTGGGGGCGCCGGCCGGCCTTTCTGATTTCCTTTTCCATGTACACGGCGTTCACCCTGGGATGCGCCCTGGCACCCAACTGGCCGGCGTTCCTCTTCTTCCGGTTCATGCTGGGGTGCGGCGCGGCGGCGCCCCAGACCGTCTCGGGAGGGCTCTTCTGCGACATCTACGCCGACCTCCGGCCTCGCGGGCTGGCCGTGACATTGCTGGGCCTCACGAGCAACGTAGGCCCCCTCTGCGGGCCCATCATCTCGGGCTTCACGTCGACGAGGGTCTGGCAGTGGCAGTTTTGGTGCGCCCTCATCCTCGCCGGCGTCAACTGGCCCATGCTGCTGGCCATGCCCGAGACCTTCGCGCCCGTCCTCAAGGCTCGCCGCATCCGGAATGTCTCGAACCGTCCGTCGAGCACCCCTGCCGCTGGCAAAGCACCCTTCAACCTTGGAAAACAGGCGCGGATCCTCGCCCGCCCGATTCGTCTCCTCTCGGAGCCGCTCGTCTTCTTCACCGACCTCTTCATCCTCTACCAGTACATCATCTTCTTCCTCTACTTCGGGGCGTACCCCGTCATCTTCCGCGGCACGTACGCCATGCCGGACGGCATCTCTGCCCTCATGTTCATCCCGACGGGCATCGGCGCCGTGCTGGCCATCGCCATCTTTGTCGCCTGGGACCGGTTTCACAAACGCAGCGCCGACAGGGGCAAGCCCTGGGCCCTGCAGGAAGAGTGTCCAGGCGGCTGCCGCTCGCGTGCATCGGAGGGCCCCTTTTCGCCCTCTCCGAGTTCTGGCTGGGCTGGACCGCTCGGCCGAGTATCCCCTGGGCTGTGCCGGCGCTGTCGGGCATCCCCCTGGGCATCGGCATCGACCTGACCTTTATGGCGCTCAACAATTATCTGACCGACGTCTACGGCATCTACAGCGCGTCGGCCCTCGCCTCGAGCGTCTTCACGCGCAACGTCCTGGCCGCCGTCATCATCCCCCTGACGACGTATCCGCTGTACGAGAACCTGGGGACCAGCTGGGCCTGCACCCTGCTGGGGGGGTTGTGCGTGCTCCTGACCCCGATCTCGTTTGCCTTTATCCGCTGGGGCCCCGTGCTGAGGGCGCGCAGCCCCTTTTGCCAGAAGCTGGCTCGGGCGGACGGCGACGACCATCGTGGCACCTCGGTGGTGGTGGTGGCGCCTTGTTGACGGTTGGCCGTGAAGGCGATGGCATCATGACCACATATCCTGTTGGTTGAACTTGGTTCCAACTTCTCACCGAGGCCCAGCCACCACCGGCTCGACTCACCTGACTCCCAGACGCGTAACCGGCCATTGTCGACTGTTGGTTGTGGTGCGATGGATGAATTCAACCGATGCAGAGATACAATAGTGTAACCCCCCCAATGATACGGCCCTGCGTCTCGAACGCTCGCCATGATTTCCAGTTTCCTGTTCCGGAAGACTGCATATGCGAACCGACGGCTCATGCATCCAACGTTGGCTCGGATGAGGGGGCAACGGCGTCTAGACTGTCAACAAGGCCCGATCTGTCGCGCCCAACGGCCGGCGACTTGGTCACCGTTGCAGTTGTAACCCCCGGACGCGGGAGGTCATGGCACGTCAATTTTGGAACATTGAACCACCACTCGCCTGCTTGGCTTCCCGAGTCGCTGCGTAAGCCGTACATATTTGATGTCGAGTACATATCTGTGTTGGTCTAACTCTGCTCCGCATGGTGGAGCCATCATTTCCGTCCCGTCAGTTAAACTCCGGACAAAATCCACCAGGGCTCACCAGCCATGATCGGTGCCAAGATGGGCAGGCTGGGGCTATAAAGGGCGGGGTCGCAGCAGTGCCCCCAACGCGGCACTCTGCATGAGAGAATCTGCCTGTGGCCAACGTTTCGAGTACCTACACCACGGGGCTTTGATGACGGATTGAACTCGGCACTTGGAACAGAGTGTGGCACGGGACAACCACCACCGCCACTTTGTGCAAGGGGCTCGTTGTGCCAATATGTAAATGAATTGAATATTCTAGGCGGTACTCCGTACTCGGTAGCCATTGCGGAATCCAAGATTTGGCTCCGTCAGCATGACTGGCTTCGGCGTCTGCCAACGACGGCTGCTGGCCAACTTGTGCGTTGGTTCCATGTTGGAACGTTGATGAGCACCATGTACCCTGTACGATACAATACATGCCCCTGCATGTCGCTTACGGCTCGCACCATTTCCATCCATGTCATCTACCCTCCGAGATCGTCAGTCATCCCCATGTGGACCGCTTCACATCGACTGCTACGGATTCTCGGGCAGCGGCACAGCATCCGGCGGCTGATGCCACTCGAACCCGTCTGGGATCGGCACCGCTCGCTGCTTCAACCACGACTGCAGAGCGTCCCAGTCGACGCACTTGTGTCGCGTGTTGCCGTCCGGGGTAGGCTGGTTGTGCTGCCTCACCCAGTAGTACGGGATGATGCCCGGGTCAAAGTTGCACATGAGCGTCTGGCGAATGTAGTCGATGCAGTGCTCGTAGTGGCGCTCGTACATTTCCGACGCGCCCTCCTTGTTTGCCTGCGTCGTGGGAAAGAAGGCCGCGTGGTGGTCTTGCCAGATGAAGTGCAGGCAGTGTATCTGGTGTGTTCCCATGGCTACGGCGAGATATCCGCCCCCGGCGGCCTCGGGGAACTGCACCGCCGTGAGATTGTGTCCGATGCGGCTGATGTCGTCGGCCGTGACGCGAATGGTTCCGTCTGTGTGTATTGGGCAAATGTTAGAACGGGAGGTTTGTCGAGAAACAGCTTGTGCCGTCGATGTACGTCCTTACATGCCATGAGATCTTGCCACGCTTGTTCGACCTCGGCCGTTGGCGGTCCTTTGTAAGGCGAGTCGTACCACAAGGACCCGTTGAACCTGACGTCCAGATATTCCTCCCGTATCGCCTCGTTTATCGGTGCTATGTCATGCAAATGTTAGTAGTTGGGGATGATGGCCATTTCGGCTGTTGTGGCAGGAAGAGTTACAGTAGTAATTGAACTTGGACACGCAGCTTTGTCGACGTTGAATATAAGATGCGGGCAGGATATATGGAATAAGAAGAATATAGGTGGCCACAATCGCTCCGTGAAACAAGAGCCACGGAGCTAGGTGCCTCCAATGATTCCTAGACTCGGCCAGCTTTCGAAGCCGCTGGTCGAGAAGATGGCCACTGGCTTCTTCATCGTTGTCTTGCTCGTCGAAATCGTGTTTGCGTGTTTGCTCTGGAGCGTGTTGTCGCCAAAATGAGAATGCATGTTTCATCTTGGAGGCTAGTACGTAGCACAAAGGACAATGTGAAATTGTTTCTCATGTCAACATTGCCGACGGCCGGAACACGTACTACTGGGCAAATTTTCGGGCATCGTTTTGCTTATACTTGGTACATGCATGCCGAAACGGGGTCAGTTCACAAATCGCCCGATTCCAACATGTATCTTGACTTTGCGACGACAAAGTCGTGCGTCTTTCTACTCGATGCAACCAGTCGGCCTGCAATGTAACTTCGCAACGGGAAGGTCGCGCAGTTGCCTGATTCCGGGCGGCCATGCTACGTAAAAAGGGATATAAATGCCGTGCTTGCGCGGCTTCTTGTGCTACAGCCCAGCAATGGGCATACTGTCGAAATAATAAACTCCACACAATACAAATAACCTTAACCCGTCTGCATAGCCCAGGACTAGTCTTTTCTTGTTGAGCTAGACTCTTTTTTGTTTGTTTTCACAAAATCCCAACGCTAGCGACTATGCGCTTTATACTTCCTTTGCTCGCTACTCTCGCAGCGGCTGCACCAGCAGGTACGGCATCCCCTCCCCTGATGAAACTCGTGCGTGGGTAGCTCTTGACTGACCAATATTCATCCAGGTGTCTTTGAGAGCGATAAGCTCTTGACTATTGACAAGGATGGTAAAGACAGCTCCTACGATGTCAACAAGCGCGGCCATTTTGTGGCGGACCCTTTGCTCCAAATCTCCGACGACGACTCTGCCAGCTCATACGAGCGCAGCAACTTCAAGGCAGACCCTTTGCTAGAAATCTCGGACGATCCCAATGCTTCATCATACAACTAGGGTGCCATGGGTGTCAAAGCTGGTTCACGTCTACAAGCCCCAAACTGTCTGAGGGGCCGGTTTGATGCGTGATGGAGACGTCTCGAGTAGACAGGCAGGTAGAACAGCTTAGTATTTATCAAGATTGAAGGAGTAAAATGGTCGTTGAACCTGTTTACAAGGCGCGCTTTTGCTGTACGTGATGTAGGGTACATGAATTCACACTCTCCCACTAATAGATGGCCCGCGCCTCTGCATCCCCTCACAGATGTGACACCACAGACGCACCCTTTACTACCAAGGTCTCGCCCAGTCCACGGCACATGTTTGTTATCGAGCACAGTTCTTGATCAATAGCTGGTACTGTAATTGTGTCGCGTGCAGCAACTTGACAACACCAACCCAATAAGAAGCGAGTTGCTGCACGCCACTCGTCCATCACTGGCCAGAGGCAAAAAGCCAGCAGCCATCACCACATGCGACGTATAAAGCTCCAGACACCTCCGCATTGTTCTCGAGGACACCCCACAAGGTAACTCAAGCAAGTCCATCCATCAGAAAGAAACAAAGATCAAAGCAACTTCATCCATCATGCCATCCTCGGCCTCGATCAAAGCAAAGGAAAAGTACGAGGCGATGCTTATAGCGGCAAAAGGCGACGGGGTTTCTCGTAAGTGCCGTCCACCAAAGCAATGACAGCCACGGTTACCCATGATTTGAGCTAGACATGTCCAACCGCGTCGTCGCAACGAGGGACCCGTCGACTGGAGGTAGCGGGATGACCAACTCCATCACCCGCAGGTCGAGCCAGAGCAGCGATGCCTCGGGTCACGGCCGCTTCCGAACCATGATAAGAAACATGCTTTCGCCGCCCGCCTACTAGGATGAGATGCGTACAGAGAGTGTAGTACAGTTTGTGAATATATATCCTTTGAGATGCCTTTGGGATCCTCCATGTTACCTTGCATCGCGCCGTGTGTCGTCTGGCCGAGTATACTAGTTTGCAAGCACTTTTCTACGCACCAGCTTGACAGGGTAGACACGTTACGTATGGCATCCTTTTGGGCTGGACTTTGCTGCTAGACAAGGGGTGACGGAGAAGTGCGTGGTATGAATCCAAACTGAGACCGTCCCGAGATAGCCTAGTGAATGCCTGGAAGGGGAAGGTGTAATGGCATCAACTGTTGACTACAAACTAAAGTCTTGCCCCAGCTTTAAAAAGACACGTGGTATGCATGCAAAATGGACTTGAACCCTTGTTGCTTGTCCGCGCCCGTGTTGTTGCGTCTTTGCAGTATTGACGTCACGGCGCCTGGTGTCGCAAAAGTCTACATACGGCTGGTAACATGCCGGTGGTGTAGACAGGACACAGTTGACTTCACCAGGCCATGATGCTCCGTGTAACTAGCGCTGTTTCTCATTTTTTACAGTGGCAAGCAAAGGGTATTTAACCACATGTGCAGATCAGGTACATGTACCTGGCTATCACGCTCAAACTATAATATCTTGACCAGACTAGTTGACCCGTTGGCAACTAGTAGTAACTACAACCCACTTAGTTGTCAACGGGTAAGGCATGTTAGTGTATGCCAGACTTGTCGGTGGGTAAATCTATCCTGCCACCGACTGTTATTTCACTAGCTTGCACCAGAACTAATTGATCCATGTCCATGTGGCCCGTGGCAGGTCATATGGAACTCGCGACTCCAACTCGCTAGACGCTCGTGTGCCCCGAGGCAAGACATCAGATCCTCGTGCCCGACAAGGCGAGTGAAACCACTCGAGCCAACGCAGGAACATTCAACTCTCAGGCACGCATCAGCTAGTCCCTGCAAAACCCCCCCACGAATGGCCGATGGCTTACACGACAAAAGCGACTACGGGTACTCGGCACGCCGTGTGCCTCACGTTGTCACTCGACGCTCCTCGGGCTTGTCACGGGGAGGCAATTGAAGATGGATGACACAGCTTCATTCCTGTCCATGCAACGTCTCCTCCTAAACGTGGTGCTGTCTCGCGTGCCTCTCAGCTCGCAATGCCGTTCCACGTGTCGACTTGGGAGCTTGGTATGTAGCCGGGCTCCTCGTGCGCTGGACGGATGAGTGTTGTGAAAATGATATATAACATGCCCGAATCGACTGCTGATGGACGGCCATGTATTGCACATCAAGTTGGTGGTTTGAGCTTGTGTATATTCTCTTCCCTTCTCTGTACATGTTACATCTTTTACCGTCTTTATTTTGTGTATATTGTCAATATGCATCATCTACGCGCTCTCGTCGGCGTTGGCCTTGCTGGTCTGGCGGCTGGGGTGCCCTTGACTGACAAGATATCAGTCAAGCCGCGACAAGCACCCGGAGCACAAAACGTCGTCTATTGGGGGCAGAATGGCGGCGGTACGATCGAGAATAACGACCTCGCGGCGTATTGCCAGCCCAATTCCGGAATCGACGTTTTGGTTCTTGCATTTCTGTATCAATTTGGAAATGGCGGCAACATACCTTCAGGGACTATAGGTCAGTTTTATTTTATTTTTATTTTTTATTTTTTTTAAATGCATTACTCTCATGGAAGCCGAGAGCGTATGGAGAGGCTACGAATCTATCTATGCATGTATAGAAATACGCCGCATCTCGTAGGCAGCAGGCTACCCCCCTGACCAGCTTTTCTATTCATTTTCCCATTCCCTTGTTTTCGAATGTCCCAGTTCTAACCTCATACAGGCCAATCATGCTACATCAGCACGTCCGGTCAGGGTCAAAACTGCGAAGCCCTGACCGCAGCCATACACACCTGCCAGTCCGCCGGTGTCAAGATCATCCTGTCCCTCGGCGGCGCGACGAGCTCCTACTCCCTCCAGACGCAGGCGCAGGCCGAGCAAATAGGCCAGTACCTGTGGGATTCGTACGGCAACTCTGGAAACAAGACGGTGCAGCGGCCGTTTGGCAGCAACTTTGTCAACGGGTTCGACTTCGACATTGAAGTCAACGGCGGCAGCAGCCAGTACTACCAGTACATGATTGCCAAGCTACGCTCCAACTTTGCGTCGGACAAGTCCAACACATACCTGATTACCGGCGCGCCGCAGTGCCCCATCCCCGAGCCCAACATGGGCGTCATCATCAGCAACTCTGTCTTTGACCATCTCTACGTCCAGTTCTACAACAACAACAACTACACGGTCCCCTGCGCGCTGGGCATCAACGGCAACGCCCCCTTCAACTACAACAACTGGACGTCCTTTATCGCCGACACGCCGTCGGCCGGTGCCAAGATCTTCATTGGCGTGCCGGCCTCGCCGCTGGCGTCGACGGGGACGCCCAGCGGCGCGCAGTACTACGCCGCGCCGGACCAACTGGCCGCCATTGTCGGCGAATACAGGAGCGACGCCCATTTCGGCGGCATCATGATGTGGAGCGCCGGCTTCTCGGATGCCAATGTCAACAACGGGTGCACGTATGCGCAGCAGGCAAAGAGCATCCTCGTCAACGGGGCGCCTTGCGCATCGTCGGGGCCTCCGAGTTCTACGCCGGCAACAGCTCCGGCCCCGACCGCGACCACGATGCCATCTTCGACTTCGGTGTCCTCTCCGGCAGCGTCGCCTACCGGCGGCACAGTTCCCCAGTGGGGTCAGGTGAGTTTATCCATGTGCTCTTTGAGGGAAAGAAAAATCTCGCGCGGTAGCTCACACAGTAGCGATGTCTAGTGCGGCGGCGAGGGCTATTCCGGTCCTACCCAGTGCGTTGCCCCTTACCAATGTGTCAAGCAAGGCGATTGGTGGTCGTCATGCCGGTGAAGTCGGTCACCGGGCGCCTACCATCTACAAGACTGGTTTCATCGTGGAGTCTGGTATGCCGCAGGGCTTTCCCCCCTTTTACTCCGTACATAGTAGGCAGGTTCTATTCACTTCATATTTGCATAGATAAAGAATTACAAGTTACAAGTACAAACTCGTCAATTGAATTTCAATGTTCCGATCGGACGCTGTCTCTATCTATGCTCTAGGTGTACACAAGGAAAACTGCTTTTTGCCATTGAAAATGTAACATGCTCGCCCGTCCCTTAGATCTTGCCCTGGACCGCCTGGTCAATCTTGGTAGTGAGGTCCTCGAGCTCAAACTTGGTTCGGTTGCCGGCGAGGCCGCCGTTCTTGTCGTCGAGGAAGTACTCAATGACGCCGTAGATCTTGTCCTGGATCTGGACAGTGGCCACGGCAAAGCCGCCCTTGTCCTGGGGGGTGTACTGGCTGTCGATCTTGGTGACAAACTCGGCCGACTTCCAGCCGTCCTTGGAGACAAAGACGTTGGTTCCCTCGGTGCTGAGCTGGGTCAGGAGGACCTTGCCGGCGTACTTCTCGGGCAGGTAGACGCCGTCGTCGCCGCTCTCGCCGGTCAGGCCGGTGACGGGGATGACGACACGCTTGCCCAGAGAGTCGCGCTTGTTGAAGCTGACGAGCTGCTTGGCCTGGGCGTCGTTGGCGATGAGGAGGTCGCCGCTGGCCACGATGCCCGTGAGGCCGGGCAGGATGGGGCTCGTGCCGGGCCGGGTGTAGTTGCTCAGGTACCAGGGGATGGCCTTGCTGCCGTCGGCGTTGACCTTGATGATGGCACCGGGGTAGGTGCAGACGACAAAGGTGTTGCCGCAGGTGTCGTGGACCATGTCCTGGCAGCCTCCGTAGGCTCCGTTTGTGACAGCGGTAAGGTTGGCGTGCCACAGCTCCTTGGGCTTGTCGCCGCTCAGGTCGACCTTGTAGAGGAAGTTGTCGCCGCTGACATTGGCGCCGGCGGTATCAAAGGCGATGCCGGCGTTGATGGTCACTGACAACTGGTTGGTCTTTTGGTCAATCTCGACACCGCTGGCGTGGAACTCGGCCACGTCTGTGCGATCAAACGTGATGGTGTCGACGACGCTGTTCTTGGAAACGTCGATGACGGCAACGGCGGCGTTGTAGAGCTTGCTAGATGAGGGGATGGTATTAGTTCCACCGACGTTCCCGGCAAGCAACTGCTCTCGTAGACATACCTGAAGTAGGTCAAGCCGTTCTTCTTGTTGAAATCGGCGCTCTCGGGGTAGAGCTGGGGAGCGTTGAGGATGACATCGCCGCTGGCGGCCGTGTTGGCGCCGTTGGCGCCGTCGGTAGCCGGCAAAGCACTGGCGACGGCACCCAGAGCAGTCAAGGAGGGAAGGACACCGGCGCGCATTGTGGATATGTGGTAATGAATGGACAAGTTGTGCTAAAGAAAATGACAATGAGTGGAAAGATGGTGCCAAGGTGGTTGTTGGAGTTGGAGTTGGTGTGATGGTGATGTGTTATTCCCCGGGCTAGGAGGAGACATTGTCAACAATATATATCCATTCGATAATATCATCACAAGGTCTCTTGAGTCGCCAACCCGGGCGTGTAAGCCGAGTGGGAGCCAAGAAGTTCCTAACAGGAAGGCCTGTTGAACCATGATGTGCGGCCAAAGTTGGCAGCTTGAGTCAGCGCCGCGCTTGACGATTGCTGAGCCACAACCCGAATCAAGCAAATCGCGGCCTTGTGGGGTCCATGGTGTGCGATGAAACCTTGTTCACAATCGAGGCAGTTACAAAAAGGTCACTGGATGAACAAATACGGCTACTATCAATCTTCAGCCCCTGTTGCCAAGTGCTCATGCCCCATGGATCATGGGTGCTCCATGGTCTACGCGTAATGTGTAGCCTCGCTGCTATGGAGAATCTTACGATTATGCCGCTTGCATAAAGTGCCCCGATGTGCGAAATGAAGGCAGATGCTATTCATGTTATCAAGATGGAGAGTGACGTTGCAAGGGTAGCACGTTGCCGCCGCGCAGATTGATTGACGGCATAATATTGACTGCATATGCTCATCATGTAAATACAGTAAGTGGGTCGTAGGTAATTCCGAGCAAACATTGAAGCCCTCATCAATAATATACAAGACGTGTCCGGTGGGACTCACTTATATTAATGAGATTAAAACATCTTTTTCTCTTGGCGCCATATATTTATTATTAACCTAAGTAGGCTCTAACATGATGAACAGTCCAGATCAAAGAATGCGTACACGATTCGTCCACACTCGCAACAGTTGACCCCTTTTCGAGTCAGTGGCCGCCAGACCGTCTCAGAATTTAGCCTCCCAAGTGGGCGAGTTTCAATATACGGCCCGGTTGTGTCGGTCGCGCGCGTTGACTAATGACGGACAGCGCTTGAGAGTCAATCCTCCGGTGGGATTGAGCAGGCGCTCCATCAATCTCTCCCCTGTTCCGTATTTTTGGCAGGGAATAACATCGTCGTGAGTCTTCACCAGGGGCTGGCGCGCCGCAGAATGCATCGCAATATGGAGTACAGTCTGTCGCGGAATATTTGCCTACCAACAAGTAGTCATTGGTAGTATACTATGTAGTATAGTTCCATGGCCGGGTGCCTGCTCCTACTCATCGCGTGCTCTCGGCAATTTGCGAATCCTTCCGTCATCTTGGCGATGCCCACGCTGCCAGCGGCTCCTTGGGGCTGCATCGAGTCAAGGTGCAACAAATGAGACGACAAGAACCACACGGAGATGCAAATTTAAGACGACTGCGCTTTGACGCCACCATCTTGTCGACTCGCCACGACGCTTGAGATGAGGGAACGGTGGCGCGGGACTCCCGCACAGGGCTGGAGGAGAGAAAATTGCAAACGTGCGCCGGACGTCTCTGCCACCTCGAACCCGTACCCAGGCTGGAATAAGCAGCGCTGGCCCTTTCCCGGCATAATATCGATTGACCAATTTGACATTGAAGTTACATGACGACGCGGCTAGTCGTAGCGTTTACTCTCATCAGGGACACCCAGTCGCTATTTGGGCGGAGGCCATCGACGGATCTACCGAGCCTTGGAACATGAACTTGATGATCAAGTCAATTGCCGTTTGTGGACAAATGCCTCGAGTCCATCTTTGTTATTTGATGACCCTATGCATGATCCCTGTATCCCATCCGTGCAGGCGCGTGCTACGTAAACATGCATGTGTCTTTTGTCATCACGACGGCTAAAGGCATGCCAACGAGTTATCCCACAGGCAACGCCGTTGCTTTCACCAGCAGCAGCTTCCTGTTTCCATCATCATGGCCTCATTGACTTTTGGCTTCACCTTGTTCCTACATATTGCGAGGCGCAAAGTTGATGGATGAGAGGATGACATGTACGCCAGGCAGTATTCTCTATCCAGAGCTGTAGATGGGCTCGGCTTTCTTGTTCAGTTGCCTCTGGTTTGCAAGCGCATTCCGAACCAATTCTTCGCTTTCGGGCCGCCCACAAGCTCCCCCAATGTTGCCTCTATGCCATTCCCCATGGTGTAATGAGTGTCCTGGTCAGATTCATACAGCGTACAGCTTGGCATCATTCCCGCAAAGTGACACATCATGTTCCTATCCCGCACGCCGTGCCGTATCTTGACATTGGGATACGTGACGTCTTGGAGCCGGAACCCCCAGTCGGCATCCGACAAGATCTTCATTGTTGGCTTATTCAACTGCCGCTGTGGCGCCCGCGCCAACGGCTCAGCCATCAGTGCGCACACGAGTTGAGCTCATTAACCTGACTGGGCGATGGAGGGTCGCCGTGGCTGTGGACGAAACTGTCAGCCGTTGCTGGCTTTTCCTTTGGCGCCGCGACCGGATTCCGCGACTCTTCCAAGGCCTTGAGCTCCTCTTCAAGCACCCGCTGAACCCATCTCCTCTGCAAAACCGTGACGGCGAATCTTTCGAGGCCGGTTCCCTTGGAAAATTGCACCACGTCTCGCGCCCAATTGAGCAGGCCCCGACTTGGTTGAGGTGACGACGGCCCAAGCCCCGGCCTGTCAATGGCTGTCGTGTGCTATTTACATGCTACTTTGTCTGGCCTCACAAGGCTGATCGTGGCCTCGTCCTGCCGAGTTGCGTTCAAATCGGGTGATACGCCGCGCCAGCCAAGTCCACCGGACTTGTGCTCGTCGCTCGAATTATTCGTCTTCAATATGGAATAAGCCAGTCGTCGAGCATCTACGGCTGCATTCCTCGCTCGTCTGACCATTTTGTTACCGACGTCACATCCAGCATGCTGCTCCTCGAGTCCCTGAAAGACACTATCAAGATCTGGCCGGTCTAGTGAGATGGTCCACCATGTAGGCATGGACTCAGTCTTTTCCGCACTGCTTGATTCCTCTTGTTGTCTCGTGGCTTGTGTGCTACCGGTTTCTGTGTGATACAGCGAGATGGACAGCCTGACTGTCGACTCTGGCTGTGATGTCACGTCATGAAGGGTTTGAAGTTCCTTCTTGAACCAGGCTGAGTGCTGAATGCTTTTGACCACCCAGACAAGGTGAATGTCGATAATGCCCGGCGGAATAGTAACGCTGCGTCTGGTCAAAGAATGCCGTAAGGAAACGATCGATGACATGATGCTAACAGCAGGAGTAATGCCGATCCCACTCGCAACTAACACGATAACAAAATACGAATCAAAGTCCAAACGACCGACCCCATACGGGCCATTTAGCCGAAGCTTGTCTTTACGATTCGCCGACTGATGCGCTTTGCCGACGGATGGCTGGCGCTCGCTGCCTGTGTCCGTGCCGACGTATTGGACCGCATTGGAGTATGCCCAGATGGACGCACCGCCGTGAACGGATGCCAGTTCCAGAATGATACACCAGGAAGCTGAACCGAAACCACTTGACTTGGGCGAGTGATGGTTATGCCCTTGACAGTAGACTTGGTCACTTGGCCCTCAAAGTGCGTGATATCTGTCATCTCGATGGCCCGGGAGCTGTGGTACAATCAGAGGATGCGGTCAATGACCCAGAGCGAGAAACCAGGCAGGAAGCTCTGGCCCGTTTGTCGTGTATATCAGAGCACCGACCATGAATACCAAGAAGAGAAAATGGGCATAATAGAACAATTCGAAACCCTTGCGGCGGACTACTGGCAAGGCCGTTGGGAGAATGATGGCAAGGCACAGCCATGCCATGGTGCCAATTCGGATTCGTGTGTTGGCGAAGCTGCTCTCAATCTCATCGGCCTCGCCGTCTCGGCGTAATGGGCCGTTGCATGGGCCACAGTCGCCATCCCGATGCAGCGGTGGTACTGTAGCAGAACAGTCAAGTACTACATATGTAGGGATCCTCAATGCGAGAGAATGGAGATATGCCCGCGGCGCAAGGATCAGCGCCAGACCGGCGTTTGCGATTGTCAGCCAGCCGTATAATTTGTAGTCGGTCGTGAATTCGTCGTCGTTGGCCCCAAAGCAATGTTGAGTCTGAGAATGACCAAGAACCTAACAAGGAATGTTCTTGCTGGCTTGAAGTGTACCTTGTATACAGTATTTTGACAGCCGAAAAACACTTTCGACTAGAAAAACACCAGACCAAACACGGACGTAAAGTACGCCCGGGCGGCGGCGGTGTATTGATCATCCACAATGGGGCATGCGGCCGCCTTTCGTGCGCGAGGAACAGATTTTTCCTTTTTGAGACACTCAAGACGCAGGTGGCCAATAAAGGAGGCGGGACACTTCTGATTCCAAATGCATGGCCAAAGCCACACACAAGTTCGGGTCCCGGCATCTTCGCCCGTTGGTATCTGACAGCAGTGGAACAGGCTGGTGGTGATTGTTGCTTTGTAGACATCGCTCTGCAATATATGGAACCAAGAGCTCTGCTATGGCACGACGAGCTCAACGATTTAGGTGTCGATGGCTTCGATGCTTCTATAAATATAGCAGACTCGAGTCGCCGCAATCTCGAGACTACTCAATTTTATATTTGGCAATTCAGTCATCTATGTATCTCATTTGTACTGGTACTACTGGACGCGTCAATTGGAACTGTCAGGATTATTCGCCAAGTGGGATCAACTTGACATGACCGCTTGGATGTGGACCATCAACCTACCCGACATTTCCGTACCACCAGTCTTGGTCAAAATTGTATACTACGTACGTAATATCTAAACGTATGTACAGCACCGAACCCCCTGTCTTATAACACCACATTCAAGCGTCGCCGACTTTTCAACTGTTGGTCCATGGTGTGAAAAGTCAATTCAATGCCAACTTTGGTCAGGCGGCATTGACAAAAAGATTGACGGAACTGGATCCGAGTCTGGGGCCACGCCGAGCACCATGCCAAGAGCCGGGGCAGCTGTTCAATGTTCGCTCAGGAAATGCTCAGCCGGTTGCTATTTTGGCTTTTGGTTGTCGCCATTGCCTTTGTTTCCCAACTCTAAAAAGGACATCTGGAACCAGATTGAAAGAAGAGTTGACAGTGCTGTTGTATCCACAGAGGCCCCAGCTGCGCGCCGACGTGTAACCACTCCAACTCCAGAGCGACATGATGGTCTTCTCCGATCCCTGTCACCACTAAATCTCCAGGTCTTCCACGCCTTGCAGCCCTATCAGACCCTTGAACCCAATCTAGATGTCGACCGGTGCGCTGGCTTGGCGACCATCGCATGCTGTGCCACCTTGAACAAGCGTTTGGTGATTATTGCATCACCTTGAGCACAACCGTAAAAGTTGTGTTGTTGGATGTTGATTGTCGCCCAGCTGAATCAAAGCGCAGCTCAAAATTGAGACATGATCGGACTTGACCGCGATTTGGTAGACTACACCCGCCCTTGTCCGAACGGTCGGTGCGATTGCCGAGCCTGGTTAAACGCCCAAACGCCACTGAAGACTTGGCGTTCGGTATGCAACTACTACATGGCACCCTGTCTCAGTCATCTATAGAGATACTAGATAACTACAAGGCGATTCCTGATTCTGACGTCTTTTCAAGTCTGCTCATAATTGCATGTGAAATCAATTGATGTTTAGCAACTTTACCACACAGGAGTTGCACTACTCCTCCCCCCCCCCGGTTCTGCCAGTTTGTTGTACGGAGTACTAGCACAGCTCTCATTCGCATGGCTCAACAAACCTTGGTTTGCGGCTGATGGCAAAGATCCAATCAGGCACAGGACACCCCAGTTAGGGTACGGATGGTACTTGCAGACATTGGCTACATGGCGCCTTTCCGTTGGTAGCAGTACCTCCTCGCCTTGCCCAAGTCGAGGACGATCATTGACTCGATTCGCCTACCTCTGCGAGACCAATGCACTTCATGTCTGGGGTCCTATGCGTTATGGTCTATGAATATCACAACGCAGAGTTGTCCTCTGTCTGGCTCCAAAATCGGAATGCTTTGCCTTTAAAGTGGCTTGTATCATAATGCATTAGATGTAGCATGTACTAAAGGTGAACAAACGAGAGAGTCCGGAGTATAAACAAACTGGCGTCTTTTCGGTAGTTTCGAAAAGATAGTTTGCAAGATGTTCAAGGAAAACCCTGTAAAACCTGCCAGCAACTTGACATGACTAGGTGGGGATTGGATATTAAAGGCCCCTGTCAGATTTCTGGCTAAGACGAGCAGGGCAAATTTACTAAAAGGCAGTTTTCATATAGATGCAGACGAGGGGACCGAGTCGAATTATTCCATCCTCTCTCGCGCTCGACTTCGCCCTGTGCCCGGGTCCAGTCTGCCGTTGTAACCAGCCAAACTCTTGTCTCATCACAGCTGCCAACATGTCGAGTTACGACGACAAGCCACCGAACTATAGTCCCGGGCCCGTCTCGGCAGTTAGCCCCAATAGTCTGGGTCCGTGCTACGATCATGATGCCAACGCTCCCGAAGTCGTTGAGCTCATGTCGCCTTCAGACGCCAACTCAGTACAAGGCTTACACTACGGTCAACAACGCTTTCAGGATCACACGAGCGCTCATTACACAGGGCAGAATACAAACAGCGAAGACAATGGTGGGAATGCGACGGACAAGGAGGTAGTGCCCGCAGAGTACGCAACATGCCAAAACCTAGAGAGCGCAATAGCGCCAGCAGGGAACACGCCGAGCGTCTCGCCGCATCAACCATGGCAAGCGCAGAAAGCGGCAGACGCTCCCCTCCCTCCGTTGCCCAACAAAGGAGGAAAAATCCTAGGCTTGAAGCGCGGCGTCTTTTTCATCTTGCTCGGGCTTTTGCTTGCTGTCGTGGTTGCCGCAGTCGTCGGTGGTGTTGCGGGAGGAGTCATCTCTTCAAAGTCAAAGTCCTCATCGGACGCAAACACTACCTCGACGTAAGTTTTTTGCCCCAATCTCTCGAGTCAAGTCTCTAAAAAGTCACGGCTATTAAACCATCTCATAGCCCAGTGCCGACGCCATCCACACCAACAGCCTCATCTACTGCCTCCTCTGCAAGCGCATCTGCGACTCCCTCAGCCACGTTTTTGTACAACGAGACGTCGTTTGATCAGGGCTTTGCATTCCAAGGGTTCTCTAGGAACAAATTTAGCGGCGCGTATACTGCAATCGTTCGGGACAAACAAGGCGGCACAGACTTTGACTTTGACATTCACAGCTACGACTGGGTTGCCAAAATCACCAACTGCTGTGTTTCGTTTTGCAACAACGCCACCAGGGAGGGATGGATGGGATACACGTGCGATTCGAGACACAGGGAGGCGGCTGAGGAATCCTTTGCAAGAGCCTTTATTTGGTGCTCTGATAACCACACGACTCCATACGCACGGGGGAAGTGTGTGTAAAACAGCCGACACAAGGACAAAATGGCCATTCATTTCAAAAATTATATATACGTTGGGCGTCCTAGCAATGACTAAATACAGGGTTGGCGCCCTAATTCCATACAAGAAGAAGAGTATCAACAACAAGGGCCGCAGTTTATGCTTGTGCGCTTGGCCATGTACAAATGTTGTTTACACATGTGCAAATTGTAAACCGTTCCGGGATGCACACTCAATAGTCACCACCCCAGTTGCCGCAGCCGTTATGCCCAGGAGCATGAGGCCTGCGCGAGGTGCGGACAGGGTCAGGGCCGGGCTGGGGGAACTCGACATCGGTGCCCTCGTACGTGCAGACGCCGTTTCCGACGTTGGCGACAAACATGGCAGGACGGCTTTGGTACGAGTCTGCGGCGCCGCGCCGCGCCCATTTGTTGCCGGCCTTGACCGTGATGGCGGCGCAGTTCATGTACATTTCGCGGTTGCCCTCATTGTTGAACCAGGACCAGCCGAAGAGCATGTCGCCGGCGGGCAAGTCGCTGGGCAGAGTAAAGCTGTAACTGGAGTCGCCCAGGACCGGACAGTTGCCCATCCACGAGCGAATGACTTTCCACGAGTTGCCGCGGTCGTAGGACACCGAGGCCTGGCAACTGCCGCCGTCGTGAGGAATGCGTCCGCTGATGGTCATGGAGTAGGTGCCGCCCGCGGTCCACGTTGCTACCGGCCTGCCCTTTGGCGTGCCCAGATATTTGGCGTAGCCTTTGCAGGGGAAGTCGCTTCCGTCCGAGTTCAGCGGCGAAATCATGTCGTAGTCAATGTCCCAGCCTGTATAGGGGTTGAAACTGGAGCGGATGGGAGGAGGATCCTTCATCTCCATGTGTGCTGCGGCAAATGCAGCCATGCCCAGGCAGGCGCCGATGACGTGGGAGGCTTTCATCTTGTTGGCTTATACAGGACGTGCCCAGGAGTTGTGAATAGCTGATTAGTTGAGAATCGGTGCAAGTCTTGATGAGCTGATCCATGGCGATCCGACTGGAAAGACGTCGGTGGCAGAAGCATTTTATATTCCTCACGATCCCTTTTGGCTCCTCATTCTCCTTTGTCTCTAGAATACCAACAAGTCCAAACATGTTACCACATTGGTTTTACGAAAAGGGGTTATCAGGGTTAATGTCACTATCCCCCACGCTCCAAACTGTACCAGACCATTCATTCTTCACGGACCAGCTTCAAAGCGAGGGAGCGATGGGGATACCTTCCTAATGCAGCGGGTCGTTAACAATAAACACGACACATGAAGTGAATACAGTCAATGCGAACGGGAATAATGCCTTGGCAGACACATCGACATCCATGTCACGCCAGAAACAGGTCATGGACAAATGGGAATCCCACAGAGTTCCATGGTTCTATTACAGGCGCGCCACTTGAGGCTCCTGAAATGCAAAATATATCCGCAGTCGTAGTCCACCATCAGGCCCAGTATAGGCATATTCTTACCAACCGTTCAACTATACCCAAGATACTTGCCCTGAATGATTCCGCATCGGATCATCATGTTATGAGCACCAGGAACGGCGGCGGGGTGTCGATCTCCTCCCACCCGAATGACTTGTTCGCACCGGGAGCCTTTTGCGCCGTCCAATGAGGAGCTGCAACGTTCCTGGAGACCAAGCGACGTGGTTGATCGCGCCTGTTTTTGGCATCTCCAGACGTCTGGTTGATCTTGACGGGTTTGCCCCCACGTGGGACCTTGACGGTGACAGTTTCATCAGGTGAAGCAGGCTTGTAACTTACTATTTAGGCAACTAACTGCATGGAAATGGTTACGAATAGTCCCAAAGGAGACGCGGAACTAGTAATAATCCGTGAAGGCATGACCTCATTGCCGAGCGCTCTCATCTCACGCGAGTAGTGGCTCAGCATAAGTTATGAGGTCACACCCGGTTTTTAGTGGTTGGGGAGACGAGTATCTTATCTTACTTCCAAAATCCATGTCCATTTCCGATTCTGGAAACATGAATATATGTAAATTCACCAAGGATTTGGGCGTTTGTTGTTGCAGCAACCCCTATAAACTACTCCTCTCCCTTCACATCAAGACGGATGGTGTCCAGAGTGAACAAGACTTGCGTGCAAGACTGTACATCTCACGTGGGGTCAAGTCGGTCGCATTCACTGGGTTGACCCGATAATTGAGACGGTAGGGCTCTTGCTCTCTCCATTGTCTCACCCCCAAATGCATGACAAGACAAGTTGAAGCTGCTTGACACGTGGGACTGGCGCACCGGTGACATTTGGATGGCACCACCCAGTGTGCTTAGCATCTGCTCCCAAAGCAATATTGAAGTGTGTTGCCGATGGATGCCCTGCACTCCGGCTCTGGAAGGCTAGGCGGAGTCTCGGCCAAGGAGCGCAGACTATGTCACCAACATTGGAGTTTGTATTTTCGGACTGTACGGACTCTAGTACTGAAACATCAGTCCTGATTATACTGCTAATACCTGCCCATGTCAAGGCTGCGTTTATTGCAAGCCCCAGTCTAGGCGTAGCATTATTGGCATGATGACAGGCAAGACAAGACAGGGCGGGTTTCAATGTTGGGAATTTATCCACCAACATCTGCCATCTTACGTGGGAATCCCAGCGAACAGCACCTGGAACACCATTACCAGAGTGTATCAAATTGATTGACTCCCGCTACTCGCGGTACCATACATTGGCCTGGAGCAGTTTACAACACGAGGTCTGACTGTCCTGTAATGACAAGTCCCGCTTTTCAGAGACAAGTTACGTTACAACCGCACACGGCAAGGCCTGCTGACCCCGATCGAGGTCCTTATTTTCCTCCAATCCCCAAAATCGGCGCAATTACCTTCCCCATTTCAACATGCTTTGGGTCCATCAAGACGACTGACTGCCAGGCCGGCGTGAGACCGGGCTGAGGGTGGCTCAGGGCTAGACCAGAGTCCTCCCCCAAGGTGTCAGCAGCGACGATTCCAACTCGAGGATAGTTCCGGCATTTGGGTCTCAAATTATCCATCCATGGCTCACCCGTCCGGGGATCGTCCGGGGATGGCCACGGCATAGGCCGTCGCCGCAAGTTATGGCCAAGTGTAAGAATCATTGAATGGCTCGAGGTCCAACACGTACGCATATAAGTAGGCTGGCCGTACAGGTTCTGCAATACCAGACGCCTGACGGGTCAAGATTCACACAAACACCGTCAATCTCGCCACCACACTCAAGATGCGTTCAACCAGTCTCTTTGCCGTGGCCACCCTCGGCGCCGTAGCCTCTGCCTACCAACTCCCCGCCAATCTCAAGAAAATCTATGATCAGCACAAGGTATGTTGCAAACGCAGGCGACAGCACGTGTCGGTCGCTAAGACGAGACACCACACAGGCCGGGACATGCTCCAAGAAACTTTCAGGAACCTTCAGCGGCGGCGCGGCCTACTGCGGAGATATCCCCAACGCCATCTTCCTCAAGGGGAGCAGCGGCAACTACGACAACATGGACATTGACTGCGACGGCGCAAACAACTCGGCCGGCGGCTGCGCAAACGACCCCAGTGGCCAGGGGCAGACGTCCTTCAAGGACACCGTCAAGACGTACGGTATTCCCGATCTCGATGCCAACATCCACCCGTACGTCGTCTTTGGAAACGAGGGCGCCAGCCCGTCGTTCAACCCGCAGAGCAAGGGGATGAAGCCTCTTAGCATCATGGCCGTCGTGTGCAATAACCAATTGGTGCGAAGTATCCCGGCTCCGGTCCGTCGCCGCCATCCAATTGCTAACAAGAGCTTTGTTTCTAGTTTTATGGCGTCTGGGGCGACACCAACGGATTCACTTCGACCGGCGAGGCGTCGCTCGCCATGGGCAAGCTCTGCTTCCCCAACGAGGGCCTTTCCGGCGACAATGGCCACGACCCCAAGGATGTTCTCTATATTGGCTTCACTGGAAGCGATACCGTGCCTGGCAAGAGCGGTGCGAATTGGGGGGCAAAGAAGACGGCTGAGTTTGAGGATAGCATCAAGGCCCTGGGCGACAAGCTCGTCGCGCGCCTCTAGATGTAAAAGTACTTTACTTGCCATGAGTCTGCGCGACCTCCTGTGATTGTATCGACATGTTTATTTTTTTTTTTTCATTTGGCGGCGGCGGGGGCGCGCCCTTGCCTTCCACCTTGTTCGTCATGATTTGCATCTCGGAACTCGTGCGTACAGGCTGTCCCCGTGGATGCGATTGCCCTTTGCGTGTCCTCGTCAATCCACGTGTTTGGCCTCATGGGCTAGCATGGCCTGATGGCCAGTAGGGTTGTTTCTGCATCTTACGACCCTCGGGAAAATGTGTATAGCTCATCGTGCCATCTCGAACGGCGCGTAAGCCCAGCGCCGCTGTCATGCGGTGAGAGGTGCCAGGCCGGACATCCATAAGCGCTGTATGTATCTGCCATTTGTAGCCTCAGGAACTATATCATCAGACGAGACCGCTCGACTACAGAAGGCGTTGGTCAATTTTGTGTCAGTCCCCTGCGGCCACGGACGGCCATGGTTCGCCCCTCGTACGACTTTTCCACCAGTAAGGCCGTGTTTTAAACTAGACTCGGCCATGATGACTAGCCAAGTCCGGCGATCGTCTGGAAACACCGCCAGCCAAATGAATATCGTGGCTTCGTAGTTCGGACTCGGACAGAAAACCGCCATGACTTGGTAATACAGCCGGTTCATCACAAAGCTCCACGGAACTCAACACTTTACCATGTTATGAAACAAGGGCCCGGCGTGCTCGTTACAAATCCCTTGCGCTGACAAGAGCAGGCACAATCACGTCGACGGCGTTTGCAACGGACTTTTTAACCCGACTTGGAGAGCGCCGGGCCCGGACATTCCGCGGGCAACTCACCGACCGGCCAACAGCCAAACATGGAACCAACCAACCATGTTGAACCGGACCCTGAAAAGTCTGGATTAGGATGCAGTCTTTTCGGATGACTGGTTGGGTCCGTCTGACCCTTGGCCTGGTGTCCGTCGTTATTGGCCGCACAAATGGCCATTGTTTCCCTATCTCCGGGAACGACTTGGACATAATCATCATGCGGCCAGTGGCTATCGGCTGGCTTCTCGATGGAAGCCATGTTCCAACACTCGGCGTCACCACTTGCGGCACGTCAAGGGTCCGAGATGAAAGACCAATGCGTCACGGCCGAGTTACAAATGTGTTGGACGCCCAACGCACAAGGCCATTGCTGACCACGTTGATTCAAGGCACCCAGTCTGCCACGGACAAAAGTGGACGCAACTACGGAGCACGGAGTAGTCGGCCACGGCATTTATCCACGAAACCCGGCCCGATGGCATACATGAAAGACGCTTCCTCGTTTACACAACGCCCATTCATAGCCCGCGACTTTTCCCCAACCCATCTCCCTCCATTGCGTGGCATCTGATTCCCCATGCCGAGACAGTGTCGATATAATATGCGGGCATCCAGGCTTGGCATTTGCAAACAGTCCAACCAAAGACATACATGATTCGCTCCGCATCTCGTTACCACCATGGCAACAAGACCGGCCAACCACGACCACCGCGATGGCGAGGAACCGGCCCTTCAGCACAAGATTCCCTACTGGCGGCTTGTTATAGACCAAGCAGGCGTCACTCATCATGTCCTTCACCACGAATACCCAGGATCGGGCACCCAGGAGGACCCCTACCTGGTGCAATGGACGCCAAACGACCCCCGAAACCCCATGGGCTTCAGCGACGCCAAAAAATGGTTCATCACCATCACCGTGGCCGTCGCCACGCTCGCCGTGTCCCTCGTCTCCTCCGCATACACGGGGGGCATGAAGCAAATCATCATCGAGTTCCGCGCCAGCCAGGAAGTAGCCACGCTCGGCGTCTCGCTGTTCGTGCTCGGCTTCGCCGTCGGGCCGCTGCTCTGGGCGCCCCTGAGCGAGCTCTTCGGGCGGCAGATCCTCTTTGCCGGCACGTACGCCTGCCTCACGGCCTTTAACGCGGGCTGCGCCGGCGCGCAGAACATCTGGACGCTGTGCATCCTGCGCTTCTTCGCGGGCGCCTTTGGCTCGTCGCCCCTGACCAACGCCGGCGGCACCATTGCCGACATGTTTGAGCCGGCGCAGCGCGGCCTGGCCACGGCCATCTTCGCCGCCGCCCCCTTTCTCGGCCCGGTCCTCGGCCCCATTGCCGGCGGCTTCTTGGGCATGGACGCCGGCTGGCGCTGGGTCATGGGCTTGCTGGCGGCCTTTTCTGGGCTCGTGTGGATTCTGGGCGTCGTCCTCGTTCCCGAGACGTATGCCCCCGTCATCCTGCGCCGGAGAGCGGCCAGGCTGTCTGGCATGACGGGCAAGCACTACGTCAGCAAGATGGACCATGATAGGGGCCGCGTCACGTTTGCCGAGTCGTTCAAGTCGGCGCTCTCGCGGCCGTGGATACTGCTGTTCAGAGAGCCCATCGTCTTTCTTCTCTCCGTGTACATGGCCATTGTGTACGGCACGCTGTACATGCTCTTTGGTGCGTTCCCCATTGTGTACCAGCAGCATCGCGGTTGGAACCAGGGCGTCGGGGGGTTGGCTTTTCTGGGCATCATGGTGGGAATGCTTGCCGCCATAGCCTTTACGCTCCCCTTGAACAGGCGGTACATCGAGACGCAGCGCAAGTGCGGCGGCCACGCACCGCCCGAAGCCCGCTTGCCCGGCACGCTTGTCGGGTCCATTGCCCTGCCCGTGGGCTTGTTCTGGTTTGCCTGGACGAATTCCAGCTCGGTTCACTGGATTGTCAGCATTCTCGCGGGCGTGCCCTTTGGTTTCGGCATGGTCCTGGTGTTCCTGAGCATCCTCAACTATCTCATCGACTCGTACACGATTTTCGCCGCCTCTGTCTTGGCAGCCAACTCCGTCTTGCGTTCTCTCTTTGGAGCCGCCTTCCCCATGTTCGTGGGGAAAATGTACGAAAACTTGGGAATCCACTGGGCATCCTGTATCCCGGCCTTCCTTGCCCTGGCCTGCGTGCCGTTCCCGTTTCTGTTCTACAAGTACGGTGCGTCTATTCGGGCCAAGTGCAAGTTTGCCGCCGAGTCGGCTGCCTTTATGGAGAAGCTACGTCAACAATCTCCCGAAGCTCCTACCGCCGTGGAGAAGATGGACGGTGACGCCACCGAGACGGGTGCCGATCTCTCGAGCGACGACGAGACCAGGACGGGCGAGGAAGGGACGACATTCTCCCCCCTCAAGGTGACGCAATCTCATGCTTCGACACGTGGTCAAGCGGCTGCCGACACGGCGCTATACGATGGCAATCCATACAATATTGACCGTGTCAACAGCAACCACTCATTTGCTAGTCACAACTAAACTGGTGCATAGCGCGTCGTAATACCTCACAGTTTCCATTATTAATCCGTGGCTGGAGTCACAGAACTCGCCTGATATTCTCTCTTCTCATTGTCTTTGATCTCATCATGGTTCTTACTTGGGTTTGGCATATGTACACATGGAGCATAGAATAGCGGGAACATGACAACCATATAGGGTCTGTAGCATAAGATGTTTTTTTCTAGCAATAAGTTTACACTGATAACCCGAGGTATATTATAATACACGGCGAGAGAGATGTATACTCGCTTTCAGTTAAATCATTTCATTTCACGCTGGGCAGAGGGGTAAATCAAGGCGGATTTCTATTTCAAAGTGTATCAACTATCCCTAAATATCCAACAGTGAACGATAATAGCATATTACCAACTAAAATGTGCCTAATTACCTATTATAGTGCATACGCGGACCTGGAATGGACTCGCATGGCAAATAATGCTTGTCATAGCCCCCGTCAACCACTCCCTTCTCCTGCATGAGAGAAAATTAGTAGTATTTCGGGTTCGTCGGGTCGGTCAGATCAAAGATGACGACGCTATGGGGACGCTGGTGATTGTGCAAGTCAGCTTATGCTTTCAACTAGTTTTGGAATGAGTGACGCCTGGCATGTTACTTACAGCTCCACCTCTGGTTTTTGTAAAGATGTTTTCAAAGTCAATGGTTCGGTTGAAGCTCAGCGAGCCGTCGGGGAGAATATCAATCCAATGACCTTTGTAATCTCCAGGGGTGTTGAGCACGGAAATCTACTCGCGTCAGCTCTCATTCTATTAGTAAAGCTGGTTATACTAACGTCTCCTGCCTGGACGAAATAACCTGTGACCAAGAGGTTCTTTTTGTCGGGAGAAATCTTCACATAGTGAGGTCCAATGATGGGCTGAGACTCATCAGGGTTGTCCAGACGTTTGACATTGTTCAGGTCTGAAATGTCTAGAGCAGCGACGTGGTTACCCAACGTGAAAGTAAAGTATGCCAGCTTCCCATCGTCGCTGATGTCAGAGTAAATGGCAACAGAGTCCTTGGCCTTGTCCCCGAGATCATAGAAAAGTTCAGCAACGCCCTGTTTGCCGTTGGCATCTTTTCGGAATGGGTAAATGATCCAGACCTGGCCCGGGTTGACCGCACTGTAGAACATTTTTTTAGAATCTTGTATCCTAGTATTAATAATGGTTTGTTGACTCACGTGGCTAGAGCGGCGCTCTCCTTGTTTCCAGGAATAAACTTGACATCTTGGATACCACCACCCTGTGTATAGTTAGTCACCTAAAGCACTGCTTCTTCCGGAGGAACGAATTGCTCACATGAGGAATTTGGATCGTGGATATAATCTTGCGGCTATCGAGCTCCCACAGACGCAGCGTGTTTGCCTTTTGGATGCCAAGAGCCGAGACGGGTTTGAGAATGCTAAGTGGAACGACAAAGTCCGAAGTGAGGATAACGTTGTTCTTGAAGTCGACACTCAGGCCGTGTGGTGTGAACTGTTCACCGAGAATGTTGAGCTGCTCAAGTCAGTACTTTTGCTTCTGATTTTATTTCCGGTCTATTACACACTGTTCCCTCGACATCCTCTGGCCATTCATGAATAATATTGCCCTTGGCGTCTGTCTCAACCAGGCGTCCGGGTGAGCTTCCCACAGCGCTACCCATGTATGTAATCAAAAATCCACTGCAACACTTTCAGTTAGCTTTATTTGTGTCTAATGTTTTCCAAGGTGACGTACCCTTCAGGCTTGGCTCGGATCTCGTCAGTGATGGAACTCAGCAGAGCCCGGTTGCTGTGAGCAAACTTTGGGTGATAAGGATCACTGGAATCCCAGTAGAAAGCAGTATCCTGGGTTTTGAGGAGGGAGAGCAATCCGCCGCCAACCAGAGTCTTTCCGTCCAATGAGGTTCCCAGGTGATGAGGAGAATTGCCGCTTGTAGGAACATCTGATATGTGGATGATTGTCCCAAATGTATCCTATCCAACAGGTCAGAAACAGGCTATTTAGATTCATTAGGAATAGGTCTCTTACATCATCCAAGCTCACAGTTACCAAGAAATCCTTGTGGGTATTATCGCCAGCGCCTGTCCAGAAGTGGCCAATCTTCTTCGGCTGAATGTTGGACACGTCAAAGGGCGGACTGTCGACCGGGGGCGTTGGCACTTGAAGGATAGGCAAAGGAGGAGCATTTGATGCCAAGGGCTCCGTGACACCCGGAATCGCTGGAATAAGGGGAGGAAGACTCAAGCCGAGGGGATCTCGCTTGGCAGCAGTACGACTGCCGTCCACAGGGCCTGCCAATACAAAGTCGGCGACGCCTGCGAGCAGCAGGAGAGAGTGGAAGCTGCGTCTCATTTTGAGTGCCTTTCGAGGTAGTTTGAGCAAGTAAATGATGAGAATGTGTTTGATTGTGAATGATACAGGACTTGGGTGAGCAAGTTTATCCAACTATATATCTGTGAAAAGCTCCTTCTATGCCAGCATCCCTTTTCTTCCAGCTACCCTTGTACGATTTATACCATCGTGGATTCAGTCATTACTACGAATATGATGCAATTTGGTTATTTACGCAAGTGCCTTTGCTTTTTTCTCCTGGATTCCGCTATCGAGATCCCAACCACGAGGCTGCCTCTAGGTGCCGATGCCACGCAGGGAGTACACTGCTTCACCATTTAGACGCTCCTGATGCACACCAAATGTTGAGGAATCGCGGCAGTTCAAGAAACTTGACCTGCTCATTCTCTCGATCAATGACGGAATATGCATGTCTCACTGATCCCATTTGACTACACCGCTTCGGGTCACCCACGGCGAATTGGATGTTGAAGATGACAACGATTTCGGGATGAAGAAGTGCATTTTCAAATCTCTTTTACCACTTTTAGAACGCCACAAATTTCCCTGATTTTACTGGATGCTGCTCCCTGTAGTTGCGCTATGGTTACAATCAAGCCACGAGAACTTGGAAGGCATCTCCGTAAAGCACCGCTGGCATTATCGCGGCGAACGTTGAAGGTTACAAAGAGGGACGAAAAAATAAGTGAAGTGGAATTTCAACATGCTCTCTCACTTATTTCAAGTTTATTAATTTCTGATGCCGTTCTCTAGAAATTAGTGAGCCAATTGATGGCAGATTGTCATACATGCAACCGCCGCATTCACGCTCCGATGGCGAGCGCCCCGAGTGCACAGGTCTCCGCTAGCTTTCATTTGGTAGCTTCAATGTTAACTTGGATAAGCTTCGAATAGCACCAGGCCAGACGGAATCAGACGAAAGTAATATGGGGTAATTCTTGAGAGCAGATCTGTTGCTCTCATCCCCCCGACAAATGGCGTGATGCGCTACCGCCGACAAGCCGCCAGCAAGATGCCGCAAGTCGCCCCCGATCCCAACAGCGGTTATTCAGCTTGACGCTTTTAAAAGAAACAATCTGTCTATTGTCACTACTGTGTGTCTCATCACAATTTGGTTGCATCGCCTGGTCTTGGTCTATGGCGCGGGAATAGCTGAATGAGCTGCCAAGGTTGCCTTTGCAGCCTCGCCATGTCACCATTATAGTTCCCTTTGATACCATTCGCAGTCGCAGATCTTCATTTACATCATGGAAAAGTCTCTTTTCCAAAAGAACCATGGTCTTTTGTATTTCACAACTACTGTAGCCCGCGATTGACTCTCTGCCACCCTATATGCTCCATTGTGAGCATCAGGTGTGTAAGTGGACAGAATAAAGCACCATCAGGAAATGGCGCATTCTTGGCGACACACAAGAGCGTCTAGCTCAACGAATAAATCAATTGATCGGGATTCGCAGTGCTTTCCGAAAGGCCAACTGCCGAGCCTAGACGGAAAACCTTAACCGTATGTCAACTTGGCAAGCCACGATGCAAACGAACCCCGCTTGGAACTGAAGTTCAACCATGCAAGACACTTGACGGATTGACTGCAAAGAAACATCGCGGCTGTGTAGACTCAATACAAGCAGGGACAAAATACAGGGTATCCTTCTTTGGACGCCATGCCTCGACGACGCCCGGCCCGCGTGCAGCAAATGCAAGGCATTGGAGTCGACAGAATGGGAGCCATTGGCGATGCCGACGGCCACCATCTCTTGCGCCTGGAAAACCTCGATACCGACATTCCGCCCGATGCAGAAGCCATTGCTCGCACAGAGGCCGCTGCCACCACAGACGACGACAACAGTTACCTGCCTTTTATCGGGCAGAGGCACCTTCGCAGCGTCGCGGCACATCACGTCTCGCGCGTCTCTGGCGTCGCCTACTCTGCCGATCAGAATTGCGTCATCTCCGCCGGCGGATTGTCTGGCATTCTCAACGTCCTGCTCGCAACCATCGAGCCAGGCGACGAGGTCATCGTCACCGACCCCACCTACATCGGCTTGATCAACCGCATTGTTCTGGCCGGCGGCGTCCCCAAGTATGTGCCGTTTGAGTTTAGACCAGGGGCAACTTGGAAGCTCGATCGCGGCGCTCTCAGGGATGCCGCTACTCCCAAGGTCAGGGCGATGCTTCTCATGTCTCCGTCGATGCCTTGCGGCGGCTACTTTGACACGCAGGATTGGCAGGCCATTGCCGACGTCTGCGTGGCCAACGACCTCTGGCTTCTTCTAGATACCGCCATGGAACGACTTGTTTTTGACGGACGACGAGTCGTGCATCCCGCTGGCCTCCCTGGCATGCAAGAGAGAACCATTACCATTGGTTCGTCAGCCAAGGAGCTGCGGATGATTGGGTGGCGGGTTGGCTGGATTGTTGGGCCGCACGAGGTGATGAAGGATGTTGCCCTCGTGTCCATGGCCAACGTCGTCGTCCCGGTGGGCATTGGGCAAGACGCTGTTGCTATTGCTCTCGAGAGGTCGCAAACCACGCTTGGTGGCTATATACAAGAACTTGAAGCCAGACGCGACAAGGTCGTGTCTGAATTGGACGGCCTTGCCATTGGCATTCCCGCTGGAGGCTGGAGTTTACTGCTGCGTGTGAGCGACTATGGCTTGACGGGTCAGGCTGCTTGTGAAAAGTTGCTTCAGCAGGGTGTATGTGCCACGGGAATGCGTGGATGGGGACTTCAGCATGGACATCAGTATGTGCGATTTGTCTTTTCCAACGAACCGGTGAGTCGCTTGCATGGACTTGGGGCAAAGGTTCGAGCCGCTCTAGGCATTCATTCGACTTAGTTGACTTTTCATTTCTTTTTAATACTTGACCAGTTGACACGTGGAAAAAATTGTGATTGGGGCGTTTGAATCGTCACCCGCACACCGTCTTTCCCCATCTTGGCCACCACTTATTTGACAACAGATGGCTCTACGGTACCAATCATTTCGTTCATATATCCATAATGATAACGACTCAAGTAATGTCCATCAGTACATGGCTAAGGACATTTATACAGAAATAAATATTTGCTGTCCCGGAATTACGCTGCAGCCTTATGGCTCCAGGATTCTGTTGACCTTGGCTATTGGTGATGGCGCGTGGCAAGAGTGCCCGTCATCATACGACCAAGATACAATTGAATGGCATGATTGTAAGATGAAAGCACATCTGCAGCACTTTATCACAAAGCTCGCCTCGGCGCGACAGGGAAAACGATGAGAAACCTACTCCGCCTTCCGCTTTTGCCATGTTCAGACGCTGTGCGCTGAGGCAGATTACTGCATACTCGGGCATCTTTTTACACTGGCCTGCCGCTTAAAAAGACTTTCAAGGCATGCAGTGGTTTTTGTCAACTATAACTCGCTATGCCTTGCCAATCCTACGATTGCGGGAACAATGCATAATTGCGCCGGCATGTCGTGTGTCTCAGGCAAAACCATGTTGAGAAACATGTTGTCTCGGGCCCGGATTCCCAAAGCCCGCCTGAGTTTATGACCGCATCGGTAGTTGATGAAGCTAAATGCAGGATGTAATCACTCTCAGCGACCACATACGAGTTTCCAAAGACTCTAGGTCAGCATGCAACTGTAAACGAGGCAAGCACGAAACTTGCAAGCGTCTGCTCGAAACTTTTAATTCTTTAATTGTAAACCCAAACTCTAATATGAGGTTCCTCATGGGCCAATAAGGTGATAATTACATGAATGATACATAGAATCTCCAGATTGTTCGACTTGGGCCACATGTCTAGAATAATACGAAATGTAATCCCCCTCCCAAGAACACGTGATTTCTATACAGACAGGAGCCATCACACCCCAAAACAATTGTGGCTCAACAGCTATTAGATGTGTCGCGCACCATGTCTATGCTTGCAGGAGACGCTAGCCTTTGAGGCGGTCGATGTTGCCGTCACAGCCTCTTGGATACCCGTTTGGCCGTCTTGGATCGTCGACCCAGTCGCCGTGGTAATACGAGTCTGGTTCTTGGACACTGTAGCTGTCAAGGACGATGCAATAGTCGTGTGGTTCAGGGACACTGTTGTCGTCAGGGATGTGGCAGTGCTCGTGCGGTTCATGGACCTTGTCGACGTCGCAATAGTGGTGTGGTTCGTTGGCTTGATGACCTTCTGCGTCAAGTAGCGGATGTCCTTGATTTGAAAGTAAAAGTTCTTGAAGGCCTGAGGATTCTTGGAAACAAAGTCGATGCAGGTTGGCTCTCTGGTGACCTTGTCGCATGTTTTGTTACTGCCTCCATCTAGCTCTTTCCAGAATTGATCACTGCCCGGTGGGTTTCCGCAAACGGGAAGAGTGAACATGAGTTGCTGCTCCTGGAAGATGCGGTTGATGTCGCATTTCGTGGCCCGTAACTGAACGGACGGCTGGCCCCACGACGAAGTATCGAGCTCGTCGTCGTTCAGGTTATCGGGCTCCTGGCCATGCGGCCAAGTAAACAGCTTAATGTACTCCGTGGTCCACTCGAGGGCCTCTGATGTAGTTATGTGTAAGCACGTGTCTCATCACGAGAGGGAGCCATTGACAACTTACGGATTCCTCCCTTCGGGGAAGCCCAAATGGTGTTTGTTGTCTCTCTTGACTGGCAACCCTGGTTTAGCCACTGAGTTTTATTGTCGGCGAATGTATTGTCACAATTGGAGGAGATGATTCCTGAGTATTGATCGCCCTGTTCAATGGTGCATGACCCAAATTCGGACGCGGGACCGACGTGGAACACGGGCTTATTGTGAATGTCCAGGTTCCAGCCTTCGTAGATGTCGATTTCACCGGCTTTGGGCCATTCTCCCACACCCAGAGTCCAGCTGGCAAAACGGTTACTATTACATTGCAATACAGCTCGTATCGTATTGACATTACTTACTATGCTGGCCAGCCTCCGCAAACGAGCTCCGGCAAATGAGTAAAACGAGTGATAACCAAGCCGTACTTGAATGCCTTTTTCGAGACAACCCGGAGACTGTCGCGTCCCTCGGCAGACGTCTTATTCAGAACCCTGGTATGATCAATGCCCAGGTAGACCTCGCCGTCTTTGATCTTGGCTAGACCCTTTTTCTGGGCGTTTGTCAAATTTTGGTACTTGACCCACGACCAATTGTCGTCATTTTGAGTTGGGATACCACCGGTCTATCAACCATCCATTCATTAGCCAAACGAATCGGCCGGCGGTCGGAGATGGATGGGCATGTGGTCATACAGTGCGGAAGTCGAAAGACTTGAAGAAGTTGCTGGCGTCGTATGTCTGGTTGAGACGAAACTGCTCAGCCGCTGAGGCTGCACAGTGGACGGCAAGCAGCCAAGCGGTTACGGGGCGCATCTTGTCTTGCTGGGCCGAGGACTAGATGGAAAACTGCGTCAAGATGGCAGTCGGACAAATTTTGCGCCAAGCATGTATGTCCATGTATATATATTATGTAGCCAGTGCTGTACCTAAAACAGCGCCTTGACGGCCCAGAGCAGAAATTGCTGGTTGCCTGAAATGGTCTCATAGGGGTAAAATAAGACAACATTGTGAATGTAATTTCATTTTTTTCGTTGCCCCATCCCGTCGTGTAAAGGTTATTTTCGGCGAGACGCCGAAGTTACAACGCACGTTGTAGCACAACATATTGTTCAGGACCCGGCGCATGAAAATGAATTGCCAGGGTCAGGGTCTGCCCTGCTTCTTGGCAAGATGCCACTCCGTACCTGCATTCGAGAACGGACCACATTGTGCAAACGTGTCTGCTAGTGCGTGATGACTGGTTATGCTCTGCCGGAGTTTTCGTAGTTAAGCCTTGCGGCCCGGCATCGCGTGAGCTGTGGGTTAGGGTCAATATGTGAGTCACTTTTGTTGGTGCGCGATTCAGCGTTCGGGCTAGTGAACTTGTTGGTTTGAGAACCATCAATGATTGAGGCCACGCGAGTGAGCAGTGCGAGCACTGATGGCATGACGATGGGAGTACGAAGGCGCAGTGCGATTCCTTGCTGTACACAGCCTGCTGGGCCGTCCTCCACGGCATCATACTGAGTGAGGGCTTTCCACGGCTTACAATGCTTCCTGCCTGAACCATGATTTGTAAAATCTTGACCTGTAACTTGTAAGCACTGTATACAACCCTGGGCATCGAATTGAACTGCCCGACCATCTCTGCCAAGCCAATCTGCCCCCCCGGTTCATCCCTCGTGCGCGGATCCTCATCGATAGCAGGACATGGGCCTAACAAAATTCCTAAAACCCATTCTGACCCCAGCACCTACCTGAGCATCGTTATACCCGCCATGGCCATATCGTCTGGTCCCAGGGGATGCGTCTCTCGTGTTTCCGACCGCGTTTATTCGGCCGTTTATCGGGAGTGTGCTTTAGTATCGCGTGGCTCCCGGCTATCCAGAGCGACTTGGCTCTAGAAGGAAATATAATCACGGAATACAAGCCGGACGCGATTGCCATAAAGATGTCAACGTGCTAGCACTATTCGTAGATCAGGCCCTCTCGCGGCGACGAGTCTTCGTCTTAGCCCCATTCTACGCGGACCTGAGACGCGCATCATCTCACCGAGTACTTGAGTCAAGACAATCAGGCGATTCTGGTTGAAACGGGTAAGAGACCAATAGCGAAGCGAGTTATCTGACATGGGACTGGAGGGTGGGCCTGATGCAGTCTTCTGTTACATCAATTGATCTTTATTCGATCCTCCCCATCCGATTCCACATGTTCCTGCCCTATAATAGAGATAGTATACCCACTGTACATTTAGATTGATGCTTAATAAGTACTAATGCGAGACAAAAAACAGCAGAAGAGAACAAGGTTAACAACTACGGTATTCGCTGTTCGCCGTCATTTCTCAGTGATCGTCATCGGCGCTTCCTAATGGTACCAAGGTGAAACCTTTCAATGTTGTTAGTTGACATCTATTTGGCCATCGGCCACGCGGCCTTTGGTATTTTGCAGAATAAGATCCGCCAGACTCCATGCTGCGGAATGGTCGAGTGGCTGCGCCCTGAATTATTCTTTATGCGTGACCTGGTAAGGGGACTAATAACCAATAAACAACGGGTTTTATGGTTCCCAAGATTAATTGATTGCTTAATAAGTCAAGCTCTTTATTATTAACCCTATATTTTCTCCCAACACACTAATAACTTGAAATATATGCATCGCAGATAATGCATTGGCCCCTGCTACCCTGTCATATCACGGATGAAGAATACTAATTCCGTGGTGTTGGCAGAGTCGCAGGGATAAACATGGACTTTCTATTATTAATGATAGCACGCAATTGACGCGCCCTTTATTGAATGCCACCACGGAGTAGTTTCGGCAGGAATTCAGAGGCATCCACGGCCTCCACGGCGGTAGACGGAAAATGCTGAAACCACCATGTTTGGCCGCGCGTTTAATAACACGGACAACATCGACCCGTATTGCGCCCTGCGGCCGCGGGCATATCCCGGTGCTCGTATCCGACAATTGAAACGAGTGGCTCATCAACGTCTTTGAATCCATGGTGGCTAATGGCTTTAAGGAGGACTTCTCGCCTATCACACCACAAAACTCCTCCCACCATCACCACTTCTCCCACCATCACCACTTCTCCCTAACCAGGCCTTGTGACTCCCTTGTATGTCTGTATCCACGCATCTACAGCTCTCTATACGCCATCATCATCGTATGCTTGTCTACTGCGCTAATCATAGCTAATAATAGCAATGATGCCATCGAAGCCCGCAGAGACTTGGTCATGTAGATCACACGAATCTGGACGCACTATTGTCCGCCAAGTTTGTCCGTATTAAAGTCGTCTCAAGTGAGCCGGGCCATGTTACCTGGTTTTGGTCTGGTGCTGCCCTTTCTGGCCTCAAACATGCTCGGCAAGTGCAGCAAGCTGGCGAGCCATTCTTGTTGTCCAGGAATTTGGACAAGATTCTTCCACGGTTCCTCGCCTAGAGGCCGTGAGATTACAGGATTTGTGCTTCCTCATGACGGCACGGTTTGGTGTTGCTCTGGGCTTCCAACTATATAGAAAGGGCAAATGTTGGTCACGGCAGAACAGGGGGGCAGAGTTGAAAACTTGGAATCTCCCCGGTGGCATGGACTGCCTCGGTGATGTCTATGCCTTCTCTAGCAGTGGACGAAGCAACCTCACTAATCTAGTCAATAACCTTTTGACGCTTGTCATCAAAATTGGGACGAAGCTCTCGGCTCATACTCTCGGCTATGCCAACAACCATGATTTAGAAATGCCCATGGGCTAGGTTGACTAGCACAAACACTGGAAAGAAATAACGTCGCAAATAGACGAGAATGCAGACTTCGCGATTGGGCCTCAAATATCGCAGAGAATTCAGTGAGTAACTGAAGCGCAACGGATAACCAGTCGATTATTGTTTGCAAGTAGGCCTTGTTCATGGCGATGCCGACAAAAACCTTGGCCACAGTGGAACGGTCAAGGTGCCACTAGACGCGAGATCCCATCCCACTTGACTCCTGGCTGCTCTCGCCACAGTCGTAAAGTCCAACAAGCGCAGGCCGTCGCATAACAACTTGAGAAAATTTGCATTCAGACTCCAATAATCATTTCCCATGCACTCAGACTTGGTAGTGCCTCTCCAACCCTTGAGCTACGTTTGGCCCAAACAGTTCGTCCCATCGTGGGACTGAGAACGGGTGTCCATTGACAAGTCATTCACAATCATTCACCCACGGCATGCATGCTACCTATGAGCAACGTCGACGTCCTCAACCGAGGATTCAGGGCCGTCAAGACGGCTCGTTCCGATGTCAGCTGCTATGTATCTGGAAATTCTCAACATTTGCTTACACTATAGTGGGAAAGTGCGACATCCATGGCCGTGGCAGTAGACTAGAACAAATAAGCTTCTTAGAGTCGCAGTGCATCTTCCCGCCGGGTGGCAATAAAGCCAGCATCGGGGAAGGCTTAAGATGGCTTTGTTAATACACTTTACAAAAATGGTGGCGAGCAACGAGCCTTGGAGATAGTTGGGATTCAGGCATAGTGATACCACCAACTGATCCAACACTCTGGAAGATGCTTTTCAACTTGTGCGCGGCGGAGTTGACTATTATGATTCGGTGGGAGCAGCTCTAGGCGTCATGCCGAGGCCGACTGGTTTGACGAGGCGGTAAGAATTGTGCCGAGTCCACAGGAACGGGAGTAACATGTCAGAAATCAAGACAGCTTTGCAATATTTTGTGTCAAGATGAAGCAGATAGACCTGGTTTGAGGCAACTATACTATAAAGGCAAATGGGCGAGAACGGGGCGTAGAATTACAGATAAAAGTGTTGGCATGGTTATGCCATCGACGGAAGCCTCTGTAGAGAGCAAAGACCGATGCAGTTAGGAACCTACACATATTCGTTAGCAAAGGCATTCCTCGGTGAATAAATACTTCCAGGCTTACCTCCTCCTCCACATCCGCCGCCGCCGCCTCCTCCTCCTCCACAACCTCCTCCTCCTCCTCCGCAACCTCCGCCGCCTCCCGATCCCGATCCTCCTCCGCAGCCTCCTGTGCTGCCACAACCTCCCGTTCCAGATCCGCAGCCCTGGTAACCGCTATTAGCAAAAAGACGTGAGAAGATATACCATGGATGGGACATACCCCTATACCACCGCATCCTCCGGCATTTCCACACGCTCCGGCTGCTACACCTCCACCACCGCAGCTTCCAGCGGCACACCCTCCCCAAGCACCGGCACCCGTGTGGACATAACATGGATCCCATCCGTAGTACATGCCCGGTGCCAGGTACAGCGGATACACTGCGGGGGAATACACTGCATTCTGCTTAGTATTTCAAGATCATTGTAGATGGCCAAAAGATGTAGAGGGGGTTGTGGCACGTACTGAAATATGAATAGCCCCAGTGATCGTAATAGTCATTGCGCGGAGGAAGCGTACGGCCCTTTTTCTCGGCGCGCTTCACAGCCTTTTGGTAGTTTCGCTCCAGAGATTCCTCTTGACGAGAGCGGAGGTAGGCGCTGACTGGCCCTCTAGACGCATCCGCGGAACGGACTGCGTTGTGAGCCGAGATGTGGGCAGAGTTATCCGGAGGGCAGCGCCCGGCTCTGCCAGATTGATAAAAGTCTTGTGCATACTTGTCACCCTTTGAGGTGCCGAAAAATGAGTTCAACGAGGACGTGTGCGACGCGCGGATGGCTACACAAAAAGAGGATTCAGTATCGGCAGAGTTCATGGTACGAAAGCTGGGACGGGCGTGTGAACGGATATATACCTTCGCAGTACCAACAAGTACATTCGCTGTACAATTCATGAAATAGAACTTGGTACGTCTTGGACGTCCATTCAAATG